GTACTGGTCTGGATGGACCACCTGAATATGCTCTTCACTGGATTGGCTCACTGAAAGAGAACTATATAATGGTCTTTGACAATGCTGATGTTCTATCACCTGCTGAGCTGGAGGCTTATTTTCCACCTGGGAGAAGGGGAAACATTCTGATAACCACTCGCAACTCTACCATGAGGAATCTGACTTCATCTGAGAATTCTCTTGAAGTAACTGAGTTGGAAGAGAATGATGCTATTGAATTACTTCTAAAAGCCAGTTGCTTGGATCTATCTTCAATGGGGTTTCAAGCTGAGGCTTCTAAGATTGTGAAGCAGCTCTTCTGCTTTCCTCTTGCTATTGATCAGGCTAGTGCTTACATTGCTTCTGGGGTTACCACTATTGGAGACTACCTTGCAAAATATTTAGAGCATCAAAAAATATTATTATCCCATTCTGAATTTACAGGAGCTTCTAGGTATAACAGAACTGTCTATGAAACTTGGGAGCTATCATTCAAAGAAATTCAGCTAAGGGCTGAATCTGATGATTCTCACAAGGCCACTGCAGCCAATAGTGCAATGCTCCTGCTCAATTTATTTCCTTTCTTCCATCATGAAGGAATCACTGAGGAAATATTTTCTTATGCTGCCCTTCCAGAAGATGAGGAAACTTCTAACTCAAATTTACCATATGCTAGTTCTCTGCTTGACCAAAGGCTACTTCCTCTTGATAAATCAGTTACTTGGGATAACTTTGTCTTTAGAGAGGGACTTCGGATATTACTGTCATTCTCCCTGATTAAGAAAAGCCCATCTGATTATATATATGCCATGCATCCACTGGTTCATGCCTGGGGTAGGGACAGATTAACTTTGTATCAGAGGAAAGAATCTTGCCTAATGGCATATGTCACCTTGGCTTGTTCACTAAGATGGAATGCTGGCCAGCCATATGGATTCCAAAGAGCCTTGGTAACACATGTGAGAGCAAATATGGAGTATTTCAAATCAGAAGGTAGTCAATTTTACATGGATGATGCCCATGCAAAGTTTGTAATGCTATTGCAGGAACAAGGATATTTCAAGGAGGCAGAAACTTTGGCAAATGAAGTTCTAGATACAAGGAACAGAATTCTTGGAGCAGAACACCCAAATACAATTGGAGCCATGGCAAATTTATCAAAAACATATCATAACCTAGGAAAATACACAGAGGCAGAGAAGCTGCAGACTCAAGTTCTAGATGCAAGAATTAGAATTTTTGGAATGGAACACCCAGATACAGTTCTTGCTATGGGAAATCTAGCAATGTCATATAGATTCTTGGGGAAGTACACAGAAGCAGAGGAGCTGAACATCCAAGACCTGGATATAAGCAACAGAATTCTTGGAGTGGAACACCCAGACACAATCACAGCCATAGGAAATCTGGCAGCAACATGTCATAAACTGGGAAAGTATGCAGAGGCAGAGAAGTTGAAGATCCAAGTACTGAATTCAAGAATCATGATTCTTGGAGTGGGACACCCAGAGACAATCAGGGCCATGGGAGAACTATCAGTCACATATCAAGATCAAGGAAAATACACAGAGACAGAGGAGCTGCAGATTGAAGTTCTGGATGCCAGGACCAAAATTCTTGGAGTGGAACACCCAGACACAATCAAAGTCATGGCAAATCTGTCAGTCACTTATCAGCACCTGGGAAAATACACAAAGGCAGAAACCTTGGCAATTGAAGTTCTAGATACAAGAAGCAGAATTCTTGGAGTGGAACACCCAGATACAATCAGAGGTATGGAGAATCTAGCAACAACATACCATTGCTTGGGAAAGTACATAGTGGCAGAGAAGCTGAAAACACAAGTTCTAAATACAACAAACAGAATTCTTGGAGTGGAACACCCTGAGACAATCAGAGCTGTGGAAAATCTAGCTGCAACATACCAATGCTTGGAGAAGTACAAAGAGGCAAAGCAGCTGGAGATGCAAGTTCTGGATGCAAGATACAGAATTCTTGGAGTGGAACATCCAGATACAATTAGAGCTATGGAAAATCTAGCAGCAATATGACAATGCTTGGGAGAGTATGTAGTGGCAGAGAAGCTGAAGATTCAAGTTCTAAATGCAGGAAATGATGTAGCTGAAGTTGTATCTCCATGCATTGAAGCTGGCTTGTAAGTACTATCAAGATTTAAAACATAAAATGATATCACTGAACATATTCTATTGTATAATTAAAAGGTAAAAAATCTCTTTTTCTGCATTAGATTGCAGTCTTTTTGTGCATAGAAAACATTCTGTTTTGTGCTTCACTTTTAAATAATGAGAAATGGTGAATAAAACAGTATGACTACCTACCACAATTTCTTTTAAAAAAAAGGTCACATATTTGTTAGTGTAAATCATTTAAAGCAACCTTTGTACCATTGTGAGAGTTCAGAATGTAAAGACATTAACAGATACTCTGCTTTAAGTAGTGTTTTCAAGTCTGGTCAAGTCTGGCTTTTTGACCTTCATGCAACCATGGAACTGCAACTAGTGATTGTCACGGGTTTCGCAACCCGTGCGGGTTGCGGGTAAGGGTACGTGAGGGTAGGGGTATGGGTTTGATCTTCGCTACCCTTGCCAAACCCATACCCGTGACAGGGGTTGGTGGGTACCCGTAGCAATACCCATCATGTAAATAGTCATTTTTTCTTTGGGCAGATCATGGTCTGTGTCACTAAGTTACATGTAAAAATTACATACAATATTTCCAAGTTGTTTAAAAAAATTTTAAATACATAACAAAGGTTTTCATTCTAAGTTCATTCATTAAGTCATTGATTGTTTGCCTCATGGTTTCGCATGCCTCATGGCCTCGCATTTAGGTCAAAATTATGTAGATTATCACCAAGATATGCGTATAACATACAAAAAAAGTCTCTAAGGTATTTATAATATATCTATGGTATAGGTATTTTATCGCCGACTGTCTCGGGTGACTACCAGTTGATTGGTGGCGATTTTGACATCAACCTTTCTCAAAAGCGTTGTTGATTTCAAAATTGAGCAGCTGCAAAAATCTTCACCAAACTCCTTGATCCTAAACTGCGACCCCTTATGTGGGCCGGTAAATGCGGTAACAACCTGGGATTTGCACTCCGGCCTTTCAGGTATTAAATATGGAAATGGCACTTCAAACATTTTGAAACCGATCTGGACCTTCACTGCATCCCTGACTACTCCCTTGAACTCCCCGCACTTATCTTCGTGCTCGCCCCTATGGAAATTGGGGTTGGTGTTGATGAGACGAAGGCTCAGTCTCATGTTGGCGAAGCAGTCATCTCTGAGCCAATACGGAGAAGGGGCTGTCACAATTGCATCAGTATCTATTGGCTTTGAATTAAATACATAATTACCATCATCGCCACGGCGGGGGGTTCGTGAGCTTGGGTTCCAAGCCGGGGTCATAGGGACATCTTCCAAGTTAGGAAGCGGAGTAGATGGCCCTGCAATGGCCAGAGTCTGCACAAGGAAAGCAGCGGGATATGGGACTGAGGGTTGCAGATCCGGCAAGGGGTAACCAGGGAACAAAAAGCCTGCCAGAGTACCAGGCAGAGGTGCTGGTTCAAGTGGGTAAGTGAAATCAGTGAGAAGCTCTTGAGGCCTGGGAGGCTGAAGCCTTTCATTGGCACTGGAAGCTGATCAGCATTGATTTCAAAAAATAAGATAAAGGGCTTGCATAATGTGTAGAGAACTCATGTCAAAAACTTGTGGGTGTTGGAGGCATGCCTCGAGCTCGACCAAGACCCTTTTTTCACCAACCGTGCTTTTTATTCTGCCTCGGTAACCTCTAAAATCCCCTTTGCTGACCATTACTTGTTTTCCTACAAGATGACTGTTAGAGTCCCCCTTCATAACACCCTTTTGCGCATCTGTGAAGGGAACTTTCAAATCCGAGGACTCTGTTCCAAAGACGAAGGGGGAGGTGAAGAACTGAACAATCCCTGGAGATACCTCTATCTAAAGGATGACAGAATGTTAAAAGAAGTATAAAATAATAAAAAACAAGACATTTACCTCTGAACCGGTCCTGTCATTGAAGACACACACATAGTCATCGTCTTGATTCACTACCCAACCCGTAACACCTTCGTGGTCTCCCGAAAGAATACGGACTTTGTCCCCTACTTTGAGATCTTTTCGAAGCGACGAAAAGGGCACAGTAGTCGTTACATCCTCCATCGTTAAAGAAACAATGGCTTCATTTTCCATTATATCCTCAATCGTTCCAAAAAGCCCCCTCGAATCTCCGTGAGTGATTTTCACCCCATCGCCTATCCAAAGGATCCTGGCTGACATTCTTGCCATTGTGTGCTGTCGGACGTTGAGTGGAATGTCCGAGCAGGTGCTAAAAAGGTCGAATTCCCTCGATGTCGGTACCACATCTTCTGCGGTGTACCAATCTGTGTCGACTTCCGGGAAATAAGCATATCCATCCGCATCGTACAATACTCCGCGGAATAGAAATAAGCTGTTGCATTCTTGAAAAGCCCGACAAAACCGTTGCTTTGCCAGTGTTGGATTGAAGAGGGCTTGGGGGGGCTGCCCTGGTGCTGAAGCTCTTTTATTTAGCTCGCGATCGGGCTTGTAGGTCGCTGCGAACTCATCATCTGTCTCATCATTTTTGTCTTCATCTGCGATAAGCCTGCTTCCTTTGACTTTGGCAGCAGGTGGGTCGTAATCAACATGTGGTACCACAAGGAAGTTGATGAGCAATGTGGAAGAAGTGTGAACCTCCCAGATGAAGGCAAGATCTCCTTTGTAGATCCCACAGTGCAGCCGAACCCATGAATGAGGCTTTGGTCGAAAGGTATCCAGGACATCAAAGATGGAGGGGTTGGGATCGGGTATGTGGAAAATCTTGGAGACCATCATGTTGGGTATGCCATTACACACTTGTTGAATCATCTCCTCTGAGCCATTTTCAAAGAATACTCTACCAGGTAGAGCTTTCCAGCCAAAGACTGCTGGGGGTCAAAACCGTGCAGGAAATCTAGGGTCCATGAGCCGCCGATGGACTCGACAAACTATCCTCTCCTCATATCTAGGCTAAGTAGAAAAGTTATTATGGACATAAGCATTGAAGATTGGATTAGTGTTACCTTGACAGGCACCGCCCACAAAGACGCCTTTCCAATATCTTGAATGTCTTCTTCCGCAATATGTTGATGAGCCATGACACACTTGAGAAAGCTTTCCCAAAACGTGTCGTCATCGGACGGCATCATTGCTTCACGGAGAAGGTTCTGGTGCGCATCTCCCGAATTCGACTCATCAATGTCTTCGTCGTCGTCGATAAGATCGCCTTGGAAAGAATTAGCACTGTACTAACCAAAACTACAACACATGATACACACCTTCGTCGCTGCCAACCTGATCGTCGGTTTCCACCTCGGATACTTGAGCTTCGAGATCTAAGAACCAAAGGACTTCCGGCAACTATAGCGTGATTAGCTTGTTACGAAATCTCACAAGAATAAACAGAACTTGCCTCGAGTTTTCTATGTTTTGTTGCTCTCTCACTGTATTCTGATTGCATGTTTTCAGCTTGCATGTTTTCAGCTTTCCTATAATTCGTATTACTGTTATAATCATCTGAAATGCACTAGCGACGCACAACTGTTTATACTGGGTATGTACTCTACAAACTACAAGGATAATACACGGAAATTGGAAAGAAGTTTGAAAATGGGTTGCAGGCTGTTTATCTTTGGTTGACTTTAGGGCCAGTTGCTTGTATCACGTGAGCATGGCATTTGACGTGTTCAGCGAACAACGACAGCCACGGCGGCGTTCCATCATGGGCTGAATAAAAGAAGCTATCAGTTTAGGCACATTGAGATACGCCGCCAAAGGCTTAACTCCATGTCTTCATTAGTATCTCTGATGTATTTATTTTCATCAATAACGAGCAATTTACGGTTTACCATGTAACCAACGTGAGGGGCAAGTTTTCTTTGTATTTTTGTATCCTTTATTTGTGACAATGCACGAAATGTTCACGTTGAAACTAAGTAATACAAAACTACGTATGATTATAGTTACAGCATACGTAAATACGAGGAGGAGGAGGAGGGATGAGGGGGGTGTACATTATATCTACAGTACATAAGAACTACACTACAACACCTTAAGGTAAGAGGGAGTGGAGACTATGCCTACCCTAAACGTTCCACGCCTGCCCTCAACCCAAACCCGCCCTAAAGTGGCTTGGATATATAGTGTTTGAGCGCCTTTCAAATTTCTTTTCTTTCTTTCTCCACTCCCTCTTCCCTCCACGCCTATAGATGTAATATAGTATAGTTCTTATGTACACTGTAGTAATGTACACCCCCTCATCCCTCCTTGTATTTACAGCAGGTATGCCGTAGCTATAATCATACGTAGTTTTGCATTACTTAGTTTCAACGTGATACACTGTACTTGCTGCCAAATACACAAATAACATTGATTTGTCCTTACAAAATGAAAGTAACGTACACAGATGTAGTTAATTGATAACAACCCATGGCACATCTTTGACGCGTATACCCTTGATACGCGGCGTGTCTTTGATGCGCCTTTGTAATCCCTTGAGCCTAGAAGCTGACTCCAGAACCCATGGAGTGTCTTTGACCCGCGAACTCTCGAGACGCGGCACATCTTTGTATTCTTCCCCGCTTCATTGTAACCCCTGATCATCGCAACATTTTCTTAAAAGACAGGAAGTACGTTCGCCGAACCATCCCTTCCATTCCCACCATGTTTTCGTCCAATGCACCCACCCAACCTCGCAAGTGCACTGCTTCTGAACGTTCTTTGACCAATGGTGACCCTTTACTCGCAAAAAAGAAGGCGCACATGGAACTTCTAGCAAAAAAAGCGGTATGCTGGTCTTGTCTCATTTTTTCTTTCTGTCGACTTACTGGCCTTGACTTTAGGCAGACCATCAACCTTCCGTTGAGGAAGTTGAAGATGAGGACAACCACCACCCTCGCAGGATGCTCTCTTCAACTTCAACTCACATCTTAGATGATGAAGACGAAGATAATCGGAACAAGGTACGTCAACTTAATTAACTCAATCTTTTTCTTAATATTAATGTTATGTGATCTAGGCTACAGCCAGTTCTGCAGCGAAGAAGACTGGAACCAAGGCGCCTGCTTGATCCTCCCAGGTATAGCTTCTGACTTGAAGACTTCGACGATATTTACGTACTGATCATGTGGTACAGGCAAGTTGCCAACCACCCGTTGATGTGGAGTTCGACGACATGCCAGAGTTGGCACCACTCGGTGACGATGACGACGATGACGATGATGATTCAGACGACGATGAAGACAAAGACAAAGTTGAAAATTTAGAGACACCCGAGGAGAGTGCAGAGGCAGAGTTGAGTAAGTCCGATTTTACACCCAATTTAGTCAATAGATCACTGAGACGTACCTAGAATGACTTTCTAAAGATTGGAACTCACCAATCTATGTGTTCTTCAAGCCTGAGCCAATCATTGAGGACGTCAAGGGCCGCCATGTCCACCGCTTCCAGTGTGCAGCTCAGCCTTGCAAAAGCCGTGGCGGTAATTCCGTTCGTCGATACCTCGACACCACTGACACTAAGTCAACCAGTAACCTTCGCAAGCATGCCAAACAATGCTGGGGAGAAGAGGCTGTAGCGGCTGCTGACAACACCAAAGATGTGCAGGCAGCATGGGAGGCACTGGGGAAGATGAAAAATGCCAATGGATCCATTACGGCAGCATTCCAACGTATTGGTAAGGGTAAGCTCACTTACAGTCATCGCCAGCACACCAAGACTGAAGTGCAGTAAGTTTCTACTCACTCCCCCTAACTATTTTCTTACCTTCTCAAGCAGCACCAAAATCGTCCAGTGGGTCGCTGAGAGTAAGCATCCTTTCCAAATCGTAAACGATCGTGGCTTCCGATCCTTGATGAAAACCGGACGTCCTGACTACTACATTCCATCTGCTGAAATGGTCTCTCATGATGTGAGAAAGGTTTTCGTCCAGTGTCGTAAAAGGATTTCCAAAATGCTAAAGGTATGTCATTCGCTTTTGTGATAAACAATGAGGTTAACTGTCATTGTAGGAATACAACGGACGGCTCAACTTTGCTACCGATGCATGAACATCCCCAAACCACAAAGCCTACATAGCAATTACTGTTCATTTTGAGCATGACGGCACCCCAATGTCAATGCTTTTGGATCTCATCGAGGTTGCCAAGTCCCACTCAGGTAAGAATTTGGCAATCACATTTGCCAATGTTCTTAAAGATTTCGGGATCAGTGATAAGGTATGATTTCGTGTATTTCCACAACATATAAACTTACCAAAACCCTAGCTGCTCAGCATCACTGGTGACAATGCATCCAACAACAATGCGATGATTGACGAACTTCCCAAGCTAATCAAGGATTTTCCTGGATCTGGAGAGGCAAACCAGGTTCATTGCTTTCTCCACATCATGAGCCTCATGGCAAAAGGGGTACTTCGTCAATTTGAGCCACCCAAATCACAGAAAAAAGGTGAAGACCTTTTGGCTGAGGGTGTTGCAGAGCTCGCTGCATTAGCCATCGACGTCGAAGATGGTAGTGACGAGCTTGAGGATGAGAGTGACGACATTGAGGACGACGACATTGAGGGGCTTGAAGAAACTCATGCTGGCATGACCCCGGAGGAAATCAAGAAGCTCGAGGAAGAGGTGAAACCTGTTCGGCTGGTGTTGGCAAAGGTAAGGCTCCCACCTTTAACGTAAACAATTCACTCACTTGTACTCATAGCTTTGCAAAGTTGCTTTCACAATCAAGAACTCTATGACCATCGTCCTTCCCAAATGGAATTCAACCCTCAAGAGGTTTGGACTCAGGCAACGCATGATGCCACAAGACATTTCAACTCACTGGAACTCGACTTACGACATGCTTCTATTTGCAGTTGATTACCGTATGGCCATCGACACTATTACAGGAGACCGTGACATGAAAATGCGTGAGCTAGAGCTGGACTTGGATGAATGGAAGGTAGCGGAGCAATTGCGCGATACTTTGATGGTAGGTACCCCAAAATGATCTTAACAATTCATTTGAACTGGTGTTTATTCAGGTCTTCAAACATGCTACGCTTTTCTTTTCGTGCGGCACGCCAAACATCAGCACCGTTATTTCTGCTATGGATCGCATCGACGAGCATCTAGCAACTGCAGCAGATGATCCCCAATACTCTGTCGCCCTACATTCCGCTCTAGCAATGGGAAAGAGAATTCTCAACAAGTACTACAACAAAACTGACTACTCTGAAATATATCGGATCGCGATGGGTGAGCTGCATCCTCTCCTTTTGTTTGACTTCATGTTTTTACCTTTGTACCGTTTCCAATAGTCCTTCACCCTGGTCACAAACTCAAATACTTTGAGAATGCTGGTTGGGATGACACCTGGATCAGGACTGCCAAATCCCTTGTACGCGACAAGTTTGACCGAACATACGCATTCATGGAAATTGATGATGACAGCCTTGTACCGGTATGTTTTCTATTGTTATGTATCAACTCATACTTATATATATATATATCAGGCCCCTGAGGCTGCTGTCTTCGATTCCGATGAGAACATGTTTGACACTCTACCTGCATTAACGGCCTCTGACGAAACGGAGCTTCGCGATGAGCTCAACAAATACCTCAACACTAAGACAGAAAATGTCAAAGATCTGATTCGGTGGTGGGCTGGGAAAAAAGCTGAATATCCTCGCCTTCACCGTATGGCGTTGGACTATTTAACAATCCCTGGTATGTCTCATGAACTGACTCGATGGCATATTCTAACAACTCAACTACTTTAGCTATGTCAGTCGATGTTGAGCAGGTTTTCAGTCAGGGATGGCTGTTGCTTTCCCATGTCCGCAGCCGCCTCTCTGTCCAGTCAACTCATGTGTTGATGTGCCTTGGGGGATGGAGTTTGCTGGGCTATGTTAAAGACTCCGATGTGAAGGCAGTTACTGTGTTGGCAGAGGTTCCAGCTGATGCTGCTGAGGAGGATCTCACAGCAGATTGGGATGCCATAGGTGATGACGATGATTAGTATAGTTATAGATATATTCGTGTTTAATAGTTCACTTGTACACCAAAATGGTATTATTGTTTGACTTATGGCCAAGATTAAGATGTTCTGATATTACTACTTGATTAAGATAACCTACCTGTGGAGCCAAACCCGTAAGACCCGCCAAACCTGCCAAACCCACCAGAACCCGTACCCTTACCCGCAGAAACCTGTACCCGTGGTTGAGGGTATGGGTTTCCAGGGGTAGGGGTACAGGTAAGGCCGAAAGTACCCGAGGGTTACCTGTGACAATGCCTAACTGCAACCAGTCCAAACTGTTCCCATCCTTGGTGGACCATAACTGAACCAAATAGATTGTAGGACCAGTCCTGTTTCAGTTGCCCCACAAGACTGGTTTTTGGAGTCTCAACTACATTTGTTGATTTATTACAAAACCAACTACATCCCCCTGCAAAAGGCTTGAAGTGGCTAGGAGACATATTATCAAGTTTGAGAAGCCTTCACAGGAAATGTAACCTTCAAAGTCAAGATATGAAAATGGTCAATAGTTTGGTTGGGGAAGGTCACTAGGATGGGTACGAAAAAAAACACTTGTGGAGATATCTGAAAAATCAAATACTGAATGGATGTGTTTGTAATTATAAAAGTATGATGTACCAGCTGTTCCTCATTGGGATGGCTCCAGAATGTATGTATCTATCTAACTATCTACCTTTCCCAAAAAAGACAACAGGACCGTCTTGCTGCTAGACAACCACAGAAGATATCTAGTTGGGATCTCGTCTAGTTCCCTCTCACAAAGAATTTGCCGCCCATAAATATTAAGTCTCACCGCAATATCGATTGAAACTCAACGAAGCCTCGGAAACCCATTTGCCTTGGAGAGAGCAGTGTCCAGCATTTCCCACTGCTTACCAAAGTGATCCCAATAAACCCAAGCCACCATGCTAATTTCTTCAATCACGTTTGAGTGTTCTGAGAGATGATTGAGTTCCTTGCATATTCCATACAAGGGGTCTTTGTTATCATCTCCATACACATTGAAGGTGAAGTGAAGTCGTTTTAGTGTCGATAGCAAGAGATTGTTGATTGATGCCACCATGCCCATGAACAGTGCATTGCCAGTGTCATATGCTATATGTATGGAATATAAGATTTGATCTTCTACAAAAGTGTTTCTGGTACATACCTCTGTATCACAGAGTTTCAAGCTTGTTTGTTGCATTGATAAACGCGCACAGGACAGCCAAATCTGAAGTTCGATCTACCTTAAAGCTTAACATCTGAACATTGCTAAGGTCTAGCACTGGCTGGCCATCAATGGGGTGTCTACCTTTGAGGAGGCACATTGGATTTTGATCAGGATATGTCTCATAAGTGAATGTCTGGAGTTGTGGGATTCTAACATCAAAACCAGATGGTGAAGTCAAAGATCCTTGCTCGTCGACAGTGGAATCATGAAAATCAACCCCATGTAAAGTGAGTTCCGTGAGGTTCACACAAGCATGCAGGATAATGACAGGGAAATTGGTGATTACGAACAGTGATAAGCATGTGATTGAAGGTGATTGCATGACATGCAATAATGCATCTCCCAGACTGCCAGGAGAAACTAGCGGTGGCCAGCTCACGCGTCCAGGGTGTGGAAGGCCAGTCAGCTGGAAAGAGCATATGTTGTGGTCATGAAGCTTATTCAGCACCCAAGGCACATCCTTGTCCCCCAAGTCATAACTGGACATGTGGTATTCAAGCTTTTGGACATAGTCTAAGATTGTCGGATTGGCATCTAGAAAGTGCCAATTTTTTGGTTCAGGCTCTGTAACTTTGTTACCATACCACCATTATGTCAAGAGAGTGGAAAATGTATCTGTGACACAGAGAGGAAAGTGCCACACATGTCTGTGAGCATGCCTTGAGAGCCCTTGGATCGTCTTGGAGGAAGTCAAGAACCACTTTGATGATTTCTTGAGGGCAATCGGATAAGGATGCCATGATGGTAGGAGAGGAAGAGTGTTTCGCATGCCTCCTATCAAATCAAGAAATTGAATCGATAATGAAAAGGAGAACGAGATCCAAACCATTGTTTTAAATCTGTTTTTCTAAAGGCATATTGACTCCGACTTCTATGCTCATTGTCTTGAGAGACCTTGTTAGGAATCGTCAGGGACTTCAAAATTCATTTGCTTGCAGCATCCAATGGCTTCATCTATAACTCCTCGGTACTCCTATCCAGCTGGCTCTCATATCACGCTGTGTCTCACAGATGGAACATCACTATCTCTCCAAGTCAACAAGCCATTCCTCCCATTCACCAAATCCCAAGTCTACCTCGCCAGCCCCTCTGAACCTAGTACTCACAATCTCCCTACCCAAATAATTCTTAAAATATTTTACCCCCAAACTGTTGACAACCGATTTCCACCCCTTCAAACCATGCTACCTGCCCACCCATGGCCCCTCGATGCCAAAGCTGCCGCAGTGCAGTATCGCGAGGACATAGTGCAGGGAAAATGTCTGGATGACTTTATGGTGGGCCTTTTATATGGAGAACAAGAGGCAGAGGTGTATCTCTGGGAAGAGCATTTTTATCGCCTGTTGAAAGAATCGTATGAGTCTGAGGTGGGCGCTCTTGCTCGGTTGGAGTCATTGCAGGGAACGGTGGTTCCCAATGTTTTTGGCATGGGGAGCATCATACTCCTGCCCAACACACGTGCCATTCAACCACTTGGTGTACTCATAGAATATGTTCCTGGCATACTGTTATCCAAGGTTAAGCCCGGTAGTGGTGTGAACATCCCTTTCGAGATTGTGCATCCCCTGATTGATGCCATGAAGAAATTCAAGGACATAGGTGTGTTTCATTCTGATATCAACTCTCATAATGTCCTTGTGTCCCCTACGCTTGAGGCACCTGAGAGGGTTGTTCTTATTGATTTTGGGTGTGCAGGGGTGAGGGATGAGGGGTGCGGGGATGAGGATTGGGAAATGAACTGTGAGTTTTTTGGAGGTGAGAGGTCATTAAGAAGGGTTTTGGAGGAGGCTGGGATTAGTGTTTCTGTCTAACCTACTATGCATGCACAGATTTGAGGCTGTCTAGAGGGATCGCTTATGATTAACCGTTATGCTTGTATATCTGTTGAATTGTATACTAACACGATATGAATAAGATATAACTTGGTAATGAAGAGTTTCTGATACGTACCATTGTCATGGCATTGCAGAGATTCAATTAACGCTTCTTCGCCCCCAAGTCGTATCTGGTATCAAGCCAAACATCACAACGAAGTCCAACTGGAATCTGACATCCTGAAAAGTGTGGCAATGTCGCTACCAGGCACAGTCGAATTTTGTGCATCACTGTCACCGGTCTCACTATTGAATGTTGATTGGGTGGGGAAGATTCTCTTTTAATGGTGGCCCAGGCTGGCAAAACTCAAGACTTGTAAATGTAAATTGGGTAAGAATGATAAAAATGTCCGGTAATGGACCTGCATGGTGAGTTTCTTCCAAAATTGGGACTTGAAGCTTGAAGCCTGACACTTCAAATTCGGTGATAACGATAATAGATGATGATTGCTTTACTTATTCCGAATCTGGCGTGGGCAAGACATGGGTGGGGGAAGAGAGGAGGTGGAAATTGAGAGAACTTGGATGATCATGAAGTCACCCGCTTTTGCCTGTGAGCTTGACGAACTTTGTTGCCAAATTCTAAATAATCGAGAATCCTGTTTGTGGTTGCGTTCTTGAAGTTGGTGCACAACTACCGGCATCATTAGGCGTTGCTATGGCGCAACCATGGCGGAAGCTTTGTTTTCGTGTTCAACATCCCTGATATCAAACAACCAACAACAGCAATCCTGCATGACTCACGGCTCTGGTGCCATGTCTGGGACACCTTATGTCCATATATAGACATAATTTATGTCTATATTGAGACATAAGGTCGTCCAAAAACAGACATAAGCAATCAATCTCACACCCACACCCAAATAGGCAGCTACTCAAGCAGTTGACCTCCTACTGGCTTTTCTCCCTGTGCTATGCACTGCAGGCCAGAAAAATATTTGAATAGCTCACTTACCTTGTAGGAATTATAGGATACACTAATATGAACCTAGAATGCATTTTTAAACCATTGAAAAGAGAATTTGTGCTGTTCTGAGCATAAAGTCAGTTCCACTTGTTGCAATTGCTCATCAAAGTATGTGTCCATGCTAGTAGAATATCTCAGAGTATGTGAAAGCATTTTACATGCACTTCTTCCTCCTAATGGCAGGTTGATGCACTAAATGCAACAAAAAAACAGAATCAATGGGTAAAAAAAAAGTTGTACTGCTTTAAAAATGCTGATACAGGAGTGCTGGTATGTTGTTAATATTTCCTCACATAGTCTTGACCTTCATATAAAAAGAATTTGTAACAATCTCAAGATCTGGACTGTGTTACAACAAATCCATCTAAAGTTGACAATAAATCTGTCATAATTGAATAACCCTTGCTGTTGATCTATAATTCTACATATATAATCAGTGTAAAGTACCCTGCTTCTTACATGCACATTTTTGAAAAGAATTGAAACATTCTCAGCTGTTCCAGACATGACACTAGAGCCATCATTATTCCTCTTCATTGTAATTTTCAGTACTCTGTCCTTGTTAGCTCAACATGAGGAACTTGAACATAAATCTGCTTTGCAATTAATCTGAGCTCTTGGCCTAATCTCCTGTCTTGTGATTTCATGTGTAAAAATGCATGCTGATGGGAAGACTTACTCATGACATCTAACCTGTTTCCTCATAGTTGTGGCCCCCGATGGGTGCCTGCCCCATTTTTAAATGGTAGATAGGGAGAGGATATATTTCACAAATTTTCATAGCAATCTGTCAAGTTTCTAACAAGATACATATTTGTGATTCAATTATCTCTGTGAAAAAAAAAAAGATGTCAATCGCTGGAAGTGAACTTAGGTTGGCCATAAAAGGAGATCAAAAAAGCGCAATAATCCACTACAATACAGCCCTATATAATCTTTACATGTAGTTACCATATATGTAATTTTTGAAAAACGGTGTCCTTGTCCCAGACATGACACCAGAGCCTGACTCACTGTTGGCAATCTTTCTCTCAAAATCTGGCTTTAATCTCCATCTCCCTTTCCAAAAAGTCCATGTACGCCTCGTAGCCCTCCTTTCCATGTAACGTAGCCATACCTCAAGTGGAAATACGTCGGAATCAGGCGTGTGCCGCGCCTGATCTTCCTGACTTCGGCTATTCTTTCCTCGTCACAGTCACTTATCGCCTCTGCATCATGCATAGCCTAGGCGCTATTGGAGCCACTTCTGTCTGCACATCCACATCAGGCATTTTCAAAAATTTTCCCAAATTTTTTTTTTTTGGTCCGGACAGTCCTCAGGCATTTCAGGATTTTCGTCAAATTTTTTTCCGCACACAGATCAGGCATTTGACGTGAATTTCCCAGGTTCTTCTGTGACACAGAGAAAGAAGTGCCACACCATGCCTGCAAGCATGCCTTGAGAGCACTTAGATCGTGGAGGAAGTCAATTACCACTTCGATGGCCGTTTCTGGCAGGCAATCCAGTGATAAGGGCCAAGGCACTAGAGAAGGAGATTTCTTTAAGGTTTTTCGCAATTTTTTCGCATGCTTAGTGCATCATAAGCTGGTTTGCGAGCTGCGCCCAGCTGAACGTTCCTAATTTAAAGGCGCGGACCCTCGCCAACTCGGCAATGCGACGATGACCACCTCCGACTGCTAGATACAATGCTTATGGCTGACTTCTTTGTACAGTGAGTCGCGACAGAATAAACAACCCGATCATTTCAATTTATTCTCTTTATTTATCATCTGCACACCAACACCTCAGGCGTCCTACTCAAAATAATGAATAATCTATAGTCAAGCACTAAAAATAACCCACTGCCAAAGCAACCCTCAACGCAGCAACAGCCGTTGCGGTGTCTGGGACTGCCGCAAACGACGCCTGGATGAGCGGAGGCGGCACGATCCTCTTATTGCTGACGTTGAATATGCCCACCCAATACAACTTGGGCGCCGCAGAGTCCTGGCGACATCCAGGCTTCAAGCCTCCAAGCTGGGAGGTATTACCGTCGTGCACGCTGACCCACTGGGTGGACCAGTCGAACAAGAGCGTTTTTGTCTCGAGGATGTCGAGGGCAGCGGAAATCTGCTTCTTTTGTGCGTTCTGGTTGCTGGTCAGGAGAGGGTGTAAACTTGGGGAAGTGGCGCTTACGCTGAGGGGCATTGTCTGTGAGCCGTTTGTGGAATTCTGGGATGGTCCCAAGGTGCTGTATTTCTAGGCAGCCAACTTTGGTGTACCTCGTGATCTGAGTGGGTCACCAGTGTCAACGTCTATGCAGGGAAGCTTCAAAAGAGGCTTATCAAGTTCGTCACGGCTGTAGCAGATCTAGAAAGCTTAAGTATCCTGCCTGCATCATATATTTAGGACGACCTAAAGAGATATTTATCAGCGCTCTGAGTCAAGGATAAAGGGATCATATGAGATACTCTAAGTGATAGCGTGTCATTTTGCTTTGTTGAAGCACAAACGCCGCAGTGGTACGGCAGTCGTGTCGCATAATATAAGCAGGACCAGCATGATGGTAAGGGGCTCATGTGTTTGCCATATGTCAGTTAAGAGTGGCCTCGATTCCACACGATCAAACGGTACTCACCCTTATCCAATCTTACCTTGAGCGATAACCACTTTGACTGATGCGTAACTCTGTCAGCCCATTGGAATCGGAGCTTGAGCCGTCTCATGATCAAGATAAGACGCGGTAGGATTTTAGGGGTGATATGTTGTGTCAGGTGCAATTGGGCACATCATTAGTAGGAATCGTAGAGGCGTCAGCGGACTTCAAAATTCATTTGCTCTCAGCGTCCACTTTCGCCAAGGCCCAATGTCTTCATCTAATACTCCTCACTCCTATCCAGCTGGCTCTCGTATCACACTGCGTCTTACAGGTGGAACATCACTATCCCTACAAGTCAACAAGCCATTCCTCCCATTCACCAAATCTCAAGTCTACCTCGTCAGCCTTTCCGAACCTATTCACAATCTCCCTTCCCAAATAATCCTTAAAATATTCGACCCTCAGACCGTCGACGACCGCTTTCCGCCCCCTCAAACTACACTACCCGCCCACCCGTGGACACTCGATGCCGAAACTGCCGCAGCGCAGTATCGAGAAGACGTAGCGCGGGGAAAACGTCCGGATGACTTTACGGTGGACCTTTTATACGGAGAAGAAGAGGCGGAGCCGTACCTCTGGGAAGAACATTATTATCGCCTCTTGAAAGAATCATATGAGTCTGAGGTGGGCGCTCTTGGTCGGTTGGAGTCGTTGCAGGGAACGGTGGTTCCCAAGGTTTTTGGCACGGGGAGCGTCATACCCCCGCCAAACACGCGCGCCATCCTACCGCTCGGCGTGCTCATAGAATACATTCCCGGAATACCATTATTCGACGTCAAGCCGGGTAGTGGTGTGAACATCCCTTTCGAGATCGTGCATCCGCTGATCGATGCCGTGAAGAAATTCAAGGATATAGGTGTGTTTCATTCTGATATCAACTCTCATAATGTCCTTGTGTCCCCTGTGCTTGAGGCGCCCGAAAGAGTTGTTCTTATTGATTTTGGGTGTGCGGGGGTGAGGGAGGAAGGGTGCGGGGATGAGGATTGGGAAATGAACTGTGAGTTTTTTGGAGATGAGAGGTCGTTGAGAAGAGTTTTGGAGGAGGCTGGGATCAATGTTTCTGACTATGTCAATTCTACTACGCATGCTTTGCCTAGAGGGATCGCTTATATCTAGTGGCTAATCTATAAACTTGTGCACTACCACGAATATGGGTAGGATATAACTTTGTAATGAAGAGTTTTTGGTACGTACCATTGTATCGCAGAGTTTCGATTAACGCGTGCGCTACATAGCCTACACCAAGACTCGAATTTCTTTGCCCCCGGTGCCATATCCGGTATCCAACCGTTCAGGTTACTCCAAGGTTACTCAGTCATCACAACTGAAAACTGTGGCAACATCGCTACTGATTCCAGAACGATACTCCAGGCGTGAGTTGGGCGTGAGGCGTGGTCGAAGTGCACATCATTGTTAGCCGTGTCACTACTGGATGTCGACTGAGTGGGGAAGACTCGGGTTCTCTATTATTGAACAAGCAGAGAATTCGGAAGTGCGACGCACAAATACGGCGCAATTGTGCGGCGACATAATCCGTAATACCATGGAGGACGGGTGGAAGGCCACGCCGCCATCGTGACATCTCCCTGCGATGCTCGCCTTTAAGCTTTAAGCTTTAAGCTTTATCTTTCACCTGTTTTATATGATATGTCATCGACTTTAACGACTTTACGCAGGCAGCGCTTTGAGAGCGCAATCAAATTACCTCCCGCGTCGTCGCATCATCCGAAAACGGTCCCTCTGCCACCTCCCTCGCTCATCTCCTGTTCCATCGTCATCTCATATGATGCCCACATCTTCCCCAGCTCTTGTCAACAACAAACCCTATGGAACCAATATGGAAGACTCATTTACGTTGTTGTTGCGTTGTTAGAAGCTTCGTTATTTTTCACTCCTTTAGCCAACCTTTAGCATAGCCATGTAATGTTCTGTGTACTTTCCAATTCTCGTGGTTATGTCTCCCATTAGAAGGTTCACGTGTCGTTACACGTTCAAATGCCCTCTTTGGTGGAACTTGAGACCTGCAAATGTACATCAGATAATAACAATGAAATCCGACAATGGACCTGCATGATGAGGTTGTTCCGGGACTTGGCGCGCGTGACGGTTCATATTCGGTGATGACAATAAGTAAGAGATGATTGCTTTATTCCGAAGTGGGGTGTTGGAGTAGGAGCTCCAGTTGTAGGATAGGAAATGGAAATTGAGAGAACTTGGATGAAGTCACCCGCTTTCCCCTGTGAGCTTGACGAGCTTCGTCGCCATAGAATTCGAGGATCGGAGTTGCATTGGTGAAGTTGGGGCTGGGTTGGTGCATAAGTACCGGCCTTATACTGGAGCGCGCGTTGTTGGCGCGTTGCTATGCCGGATGCTTTGTTTTTGTGGGCGACAACCCTGATATCAAACAACCAACAACAGCAATCCTGCATGAACTGTTGGCAATCTTTCTCTCAAACTGTGGCTCTAATCTCCATCTCTCCCTTCAAAAAGTCCATGTACCCCTCATAGCCCTCCTTTCCAAATGTCCAGAATCCAGCTACAACGGCAAGATACCTTTGATCTGCGCGACCAAATCCACGCGGACGACCACTCCCACTTACAAGCACACGCCGACGCAGCCGTAAACTATACCGACGACGAGGAGCATTCCGTGTTAGAAGATGACTCCGAGGGCGAGGAACAGGAAGAATACATGGACGACGACGACGACGGCTCGTCATCCCTCTCCATCCCGAACGAATCTATAGACTTTGACCTCGTGTACTCCCTCCACAGCTTCGCAGCTACCGTCGAGGGCCAAGCGAATGTGGTCAAGGGGGACAGCTTGTTTTTGATGGACGACAGTAACAGCTATTGGTGGCTTGTTCGTGTGCTCAAGACCCAGGAGGTCGGGTATATACCGGCGGAAAATATCGAGACGCCGTTTGAACGGCTGGCAAGACTTAATAAACATCGTAACGTTGATGTACGTGAACCCATTTTATATCCTATTCTCAATTATGTAACCCCCGCTTTTCAGCTTGCATCCGCCACACAAACCGAACTACAAGAAGGGCAGATAATCCTGGGTGACCGGCTTCGCACCGGTCTTACGTCGCGCGTCGGATCGAGTAAAACTCCCTCTCCTGCCGGGCGTCGTTCACGACAAAATAAAGGCGTCCAATTCACACCTACCCTCTCCGTCCATCGATACCTCCCCGCCGTATGGAAGGAAGAAGAAATGTCAGACGAAGAAGACGTGGAATGGGACGATGAGGGGTACGAAGATGAAGACCAAGGCCTTGCGATTGAGCAGATGCAGAGAAGGAGGGAGGAGGAAGAGCTCGGGCCAGGGAATATGGAGCCTGACGACGGGATGCAGTGGGACGATAGCGTTACGGAGGAGATCCAGATCCGCCAGGTCCTCGCTGCTAATACGGTGCCTATTCCTGATGCGCTGCAGCCTGGGTCTCAGCGCGAACAGCAGCAGCAACAGCAGTTGAGGGCTCAGCAGCAGCAGCAGTTGCAGGCGCAACAACAACAGCAGCAGCTAATGGCCCAGCAGCAGCAGCAACAACAGGCCGTTGCCCAACAGGCCGTTGCTCAGCAGGCCGTTGTTCAGCAGGGCCCTCAGCAGCAGCAACAGGCCCTGCGCACAGTCAGCTCTCGCGAGAGGTTGAATGCCTCCCCTGCATCTCAGGGCCCTCGATCGATTGACCCAGCTGAAGCGACGGAGACACGTAAACTGACCGTTACACCCAACATCGCTCGGGATACCGATGAGAGGCCTCAAGGCCAACCATACCTCCCCAGCCAGATCATCGGGAAGCAACAGGAAGAGGAGCGAACTAAAAGGCAACGCGAGGAGGACGCTGATGAAGCGTCCAAGCGGAAGAAGGGCAAGGAAAAGATGGCGCCCCCCGTAAGCTCAGCAAGCCTCGCTAAACCCCAACAACCACCCGGCAAACTGCGTAAAGAGCCTTCAAGGGATTCTCAGGAGGAGGAAACGAATGGGAAGGACAAGAAGAAGAAATCGTCCGTGTTCAGTGGGCTTTTCAGCCGGAAGAAGGAAAAGGCGAAGGATCGCGGAAGGAGTGCGTCCATTGGGTCTATGGAGAGTGGGGAGTATACGGCTCGTGGATCGGAAGATTCGAGTCGGTCTGGTGGGCAGCATCGGCCTAATGGCAATGGGAATGGGTCGCCTGGGGATGGGACGGTCTCGCCTACGACGGCTGTGGCGATTCAGCAGCAGAAGCAGCAGCAGCAACAGGCGCTTAATAATGCGCGTGCTGAACCTGCTGCTGCTGCACAAAATCAAGTGGCTGCTGCTGCCCCTGCGACGCCTGAACGAGGTACGGCCCTTGCTCAAGTGTCGCCGCATGCTAGTCAGCTGCGGCAGAGGGATCAGCACCAGCAGGCGCTTTACCAGCAGTACCTCAATCGGTCCCCTTCTTCGCCTCCGGAAGCCCAACCTTCGTATGGGCTGCAATCTGCATCTGCAGTCATGTCGTATACCTCGTCTTCGTCGTCTTCCGGGTCTGCGCTTGGACCGCCTACTTCTCGACCACGTCCTGGTTCGCTCATACTCACCGCATCTTCGATGGACGGGCCAGGGCCAGGTGTACCAGAGCTCAGCGTCATACGCGTGTTTGCGGGTAAACACTTGCAGACGGAAGCGACGTTTAAAACCGTGCTCCTCAACAGCTCAACGACTTCCTCCGATCTCGTCCGGCAGGCACTGCAGAGGTTCAGGTTACCAGCGGGGGAAGACGAGGATGATTATTATCTGACGATCAAAGAAGTTGGAGGAGGTGCTTCTGCCGTATTGGAAGCGAAGGAAAAGCCGTTGGTGGTGTTTGAGACGCTCGTGGTGGAAGCTATGGAGGTGCCCAAGGTCAAGAGGAGTAGCGTGGGGAGCATCAGCTCGATCGCGAGTAATTTGTCGATGCATCCTGCGATAAAGAAGTTGTCGATGAATGACTTTACGGATGATTCGGCTGTCAAGTTTTATTTGAACCGCAGGATGAATGGGGTGGATGATAGTGATTTGGGACATGAGGGCGATGATACGCTTATTGCTGATATGTCGCATGATGGAGAGGAGTTGGCTTCGCCTCGGCCGCAGTATTTGAGCGCGAGTGCTGCTGTTGGAGGAGGGGGAGGGAATGTTACGCCTGAGAGGTTTTCTTCGCCTTCGTTCAGGTTCCCGTTGCAGCTTGTTATATACCCCGACGACCTTCCGGACGATATGGTGTTCCATCCTACCACGGAGGCGATTGTGTTCAAGGATACGCTGAGGGATACGAATCCTGCGCCTTCGACCCTCGTTTCGTCGACTATGCGACGAAAGGTGTTTGTGTTCCCGAAGAACGTGACTGTTGCGGAGGTTATTGAGTTGGGGTTGGAGAGGTTTGGGATATTGGAGGGTGTGGTTGATGGAGGTGATGAGGTTGAGGATAAGTTTACGAAGAGGAGGAGTTCGATTAGGGTTAGGTATCAGTTGGTCGTTGATACGGGTCATGGTGGTATGGTCATCTTGCGTTTCCTCGTACCTAGTACTGACTGACATTCTTTACAGAACGTGAACTTTCTCCCTCTAGTAGGGTCATCGATGCATTCCCCCGCCCTCCCACCTACAGAGCGCCAGACCGCCAATTGGCCGTGAACAAACGCCGATCAGTCGACTCTGCGCAACTCCTTGGGTCATTGGATGACGTCCAATCAGACGACCCCGTCTTCATTCTCCGTCGCGCCATATCTTACCGCAACTCGACATCCCGCCATCGTACCTCTGCTCCCTTAGATGAGATCGCACTGCAGCAGCTTCATCTCCATCGCGAGTCCGCGTCCAGCGCCAATACGGATCTGGGCAGTCCTATTCATGAAGATACCCCCAAACCCAAACAACCGTCCAGGCAGGAAATTATTGCTGCTCAGCGGGCTGCTACACGTGCCAATCAGCGTGCCATTCTTTCTGCGCAGACGAATTCGGTGCGGGGGATGGATGTTCTGTTGCCTGGGAACGCGTTACTTCGAAGCTCGCGATACGATTCTAATGACCGGATGCGGTACTCGTACGTGGAAGCTGATGGGGAGACGTACGATATCAGCGATATCGTCGAGGAGGAGTGGAGGGAGAATAACCCTGTGAATAAGAATGACCTCTTGGAAGGCGTTCTGGCGAAGAACAAAGACGCCATTGGTGATAAGCTCGATAGGGTGCTGAACAAGATCAAGAATGAGAAAGCCAAGGAGCGTGATATCTCGTCTCTGTCCAGCTCGGATAATCGCAGGTCCTCAATTCCTTCAGAGTATTCTGTCGAAGACTCCGTGGCTTATTCACGTTCAGTCACCCCTGGGTCGGCTGGGTTCACCTCGAGAATGCCCAGTGGGAATGCACCTCGAGCTTCTCCGACACCAAGAGGTCCACGGCCTGACACTACGACGCCGACAAACTCGGGTCCAGGGCACAACCAACGTCCGTCCATCGCCTCTGTGATGTCCGATCTCTCCAGCTACGGCACCGCGCAAACTCAGGGTGGTTCACCCCAACAACGCGAAAGGTCTCGCACTGAAACGCCCAAACCTCGTCAGCCGCAGATCTACCTGCCCAAGGACGACTTTGGGTTCGCGCATATGATGGCGATTATTGAGTACAAGGCGTCAAAGCCGAAGGTTACCCCGCGCCCGCTTGACCCTGTTGATGAGCTGTTGTTTGGCACGCCGCTTGATTTGGAGTCGTTACATCCTCAGGCGAGGGAGATTTATGCGAGTGGGTTTAAGCAGCTTGAGGAGATGGATAAGGTGTGTATGTCTTTGTAGTTAGCGGAGTTGTAGCTTATGCTGTTTTTGCAGATTCTTGATAGTTATATCGGGCCAGCCATTGGTTCTTTTTGATGCTTTTTTTCTAATTTCTAACTGATGTCGTCGCTCTTTTCTCTTGTTAAGTTATATATTTAGATGCTGCATTGGTTCTGATTGAGGAGGGTATGATACCATTTGCTTCTGCCAAAAGGTTGGTCACACGCCAAAATCTTTCAAGAGACCCTCCACAAGTTGTTCTTTGAATGTGATTTGGAGCCTCTCTGTACTTAACAGAGATGCCTGGATGGAACAAGTTATTTCTGCTTTGCAGCCACTTTTGAGATTCCGCGTTTGACGCGACTCAAAATAAACCAACGATCTCTCAGCGTCCCACTAACTCCCCCACCCATAAATCTCGCCCAAAGTCAATGTTGCAAGCCCTGAAACTCAAAACCACCCCGGCGTCAGTATCACAAACGGAAATACCGCCCCGACCACGCACGCTAAGTATTCGTTCACAGCTCAGCACCAACTTCACCAATGCAACCCCGATTCTTGATTATTTGAATTTTATGCCGATAAATTTCATTAACTTCAAATGGGAAAGCGGGTGTTCATTCAACTTGAAGTTCTCTCAGTTCCCACTAATTCTGGTCCTGGAGCTCCTACTTCAACACCCCACTTCGGAATAAAGCAATCATCATCTCTTATCCTCATCACCGAACTTGAAGCGACAAGTCCCAATTCTGGAACAAACTCATTGGCATGCTGGTCCACGCCTCACGCATGGGGTAGCGTCTTGGAACTGGTAGCGACGGTGCCACACGGTTCAGGATGTCGGACTTAGTTGTGAAGACAGATATTATACCGGAGGGGCAAAGAAATCCGAGTCCTGGTGTGCTAGAGTTTAGTAGCGCGATGACTCTAGAATTTTGTATAATTTCATACTCAATCCATAATCATAAATTATTTGTTTTCATCTTTTGCTCATCATCTTCCATCTTCAACGGTCTTTCGAGAAATTCCCCTGTCCGGATTCCTCACCATTGGCGTATCGCTCGCTTGTCGTGTCCGAAAAGGAGGCACAATGACGCCTCGGAGCATCTTGACATCGCGCCACCCTATTTTATTCATACGCCTCAATAAAAACTCTGCTATAACGATACACACCAGGAACTGTTCATGACGAAATCATATCTTACTCATCATTCGTGTTAGTGGACAAGTTACTGATGGATATACACCTTAATTGTAAGCGATCCCTCTAGACAGCCTCAAATCTGCCCATGGGTAGTAGAATTGACAGAAACACTAATCCCGGCCTCCGCCAAAACCCTTCTCAACGACCTCACATCTCCAAAAAATTTACAATTCAATTCCCAATCCTCATCCTCGCACCCCTCCTTCCTCACCCCCGCACACCCAAAATCAATAAGAACAACCCTCTCAGGCGCCTCAAGCCTAGGGGACACAAGCACATTATGAGAGTTGATATCAGAATGAAACACACCTATCTCCTTAAATTTCTTCACAGCATCAATCAGGGGACACACAATCTCAAAGGGGATGTTCACACCACTACCCGGCTTGACGTCGGATAACGGTATACCGGGAACATATTCTATGAGTACACCAAGCGGTTGGATGGCGCGCGTGTTGGGCGGGGGTACGATGTTCCCCGTAGCAAAGACCTTGGGAACCACCGTTCCCTGCAACGACTCCAACCGAGCAAGAGCGCCCACCTCAGACTCATACGATTCTTTCAACAGACGATAAAAATGTTCTTCCCAGAGATACGCCTCCGCCTCTTCTTCTCCATATAAAAGGTCCATCGTAAAGTCATCTGGACGTTTTCCTTTCGCTACGTCCTCGCGATACTGCACTGCGGCAGCTTCGGCATCAAGTGTCCACGGGTGGGCGGATAGCGTTGTTTGAAGGGGCGGAAAGCGGTCGTCGACAGTCTGGGGATCGAATATTTTGAGGATTATTTGGGAAGGGAGATTGTGAGTACTAGGTTCAGAGGGGCTGACGAGGTAGACTTGAGATTTGGTGAATGGGAGGAAAGGCTTATTGACTTGTAGAGATAATGATGTTCCATCTGTAAGACGCAGCGTGATACGAGAGCCAGCCGGATAGGAGTGAGGAGTTATAGATGAGAACATGATCGAAGAAAATAGCATAGAAGTCGGAGTCCGAACCAAAGCTCAAGGTGACACAGTTTGCCAGTAAATGCCTTGCTTTTTCAGTAAAAACGGATTTTTGATGCTTGGGTGAATTGCTATCCTGGATTCTGCGAAGGCCAAGCGAAGGCGATCTGAATCTCATTCTCCTTTCCGTTATCTACATACAAGGGGGTGTCGGGATTTTTAAAAAAGACCTAGGGTCGATTTTTTTGGTAGTGAGCGCTGGGCTGAACCAACCACCCAATGTAATCAGGCACATGTCTACTTTAGGAAATATGACGTCACCACTGTGCTCCTGGTCCTCCTTTTGACGTTGAAAATGCATTGCAGACCCAATGCATGGGCACCTGTGCATGGCAAACACAAATGAGATGATATTAGAATGATTTGACGTGAAGATGTAAGTAAATTTCATGTTGAAACCCTAACAGAAAGTAGGTTTACTTATCCACACAGTTTCACATCCCACTGGATCACATTGTTGGCGGTTAGCTCTGCTCGGGATCCACAAAAACAATCCTCTAATCCTCCAATGTCAACAACCTTATGTTTTCATCTTTCACACTGACCTCATGTTTCCTTGTTGACAATTTCCGAGCTTGAAATAGGTGGCCTATGAACCTCGTTGGTGTCAGAATGAGTCACGGCATGAGTGTCCTGTTCTGTGGAATCTCACGGTGAGTTTGCGTGCCCCGGAATATGCTAACAAATCATAATCAAAGGTCTTTGACGGTTGCCATACTAACGAAAATTATCAATGCATGTTATTATTACCTTATGTAAGCAGTCCCATTGGTGTTTTTGGCGCATCCTGAGGCATTTAGCACACCTTGAGGCTTTCTAGCATCTATTATGTATACTTTATCCATCAGGAAGGCCGTCTATAATGTTTTTGGGCCAAAATTTTTGAGCTTCCAATTTTTTTTTAACGGCCTGATGGCCCAACCAACCAACCAGCCCCCGGTCCGGGATTATGATCCCAACACCCCCTTGTCTACATATTTCTTTTTATTTTGATAGGGGGCGTGCGAAACACTCTTCCTCTCCTACCATCATGATGTCCTTATCCGATTGCCCTCTAGAAATCATCGAAGTGGTTCTCGACTTCCTCCAGGATGATCCAAGGGATCTCAAGGCATGCTCGTGGACATGTGCTACGCTTTTCTCTCTGTGTCGCAGATACATCTTCCGCTCTCTTAGCATAACTCATTCTTTGGCATGGTGGCAAGGTAGCGAAATTACAGAGGTTAAACCAGAAATTTGCCCCTCCGATCCGACAATCTTAGACTATGTCCAAAAGCTTGATTATAGCATGTCCAGTTTCAACTTCGGGTACGAGGACGTGCCTTGGGTGCTGGATCAGCTTCATAACCACAACGTACGCTCTTTCCAGCTGACTGGCCTTCCACCCCCCGGACGCATGAGCTGGGCGCTAGTCCCTCCCTGTCTAGGAGACACATTATTGCGTGTCGTGCAATCACCTTCGATCACATGCTTATCACTGTCCGTAATCGCCAATTTCCCTGTCATTGCTCTGCGTGCTTGTGTGAACCTCACAGAACTCACTTTACATGGGGTCGATTTCCATGTTTCCACTGTCGACGAGCAAGGATCTTTGACATCAGCGTCTGGTTTCAACGTTAGAATCCCACAACTCCAGACATTCACTTGTTAGACATATCCTGATCAAAATCCAATGTGCCTCTTCAAGGCTAGACACCCCATCGATGGCCAGCTGGTGCTAGACCTTAGCAACATTCAGATGTTAAGCTTCAAGGTAGATCAAACTTTGGATTTGGCTGTCCCGCATGTGTTCATCAAGCCAACAAACAAGCTTGGAACTCTGCGATACAGAGGTACATACCAGAAACACTTTTCTAGAAGATCGAATCTTATATTTCATTCATATAGCGTGCGACACTGGCAATGCACTGTTCTTGGGCATGGCGGCATCAATCAACAACCTCTCGCTATTGATGCTAAAACGACTTCACTTCACCTTCAACATGTATGGAGATGATAACAAAGACCCCTTGTATGGAATATGCAAGGAACTCAATCATCTCTCAGAACACTCAAACATGATTGAAGAAATTAGCATGGTGGCTTGGGTTTATTGGGATCACTTTGGTAAGCAGTGGGAAATGCTGGACACTGCTCTCTCCAAGGCAAATGGGTTTCCAAGGCTTTGTCGAGTTTCGATCAATATTACAGTGAGACTTAATATGTATGGGCACCAAAACTTTTGTGAGAGGGAACTAGACGAGATCCCAACTAGATATTTTCCGTGGTTGTCTAGCAGCAAGACAGTCCTGTTATCTTATTCTGGAAAGGTAAATAGGTAGAAGATAGATATGTTCTGGAGCCGTCCCAACAAGGAACGGCTGGTACATTATACTTTTACAATTACAAACACATCCATTCAGTATTTGATTTTTCAGCAAGTTTTTATTTCATACCCATCCCAATGACCTTCCCTGACCAAATTATTGACTATTTGCATTGACTTTGAAGGTTACATCTCCTGTTAAGCCTTCTAAAACTTGATAATATGTCTCCTAGCCACTTTGAGCCTTTTGCAGGGTGATGTAGTTAGTTTTTTCATAAATCAATATATTTACTGTAACTGATGGTAGTTGAGACTCTGAAAATCAGTCTTGTGGGGCAACTGGAACAGGACTGGTCCTATTTGGTTCAGTTATGGTCCTCCAAGGATGGGCAACAGTTTGGACTGGTTGCAGTTCCATAGTTGGCCCCTTGGGGGCCAAAACAACAGATGTGACCAAGCTTGAAAACACTACTTAAAGCAGAGTATCTGTTAATTTCTTTACATTCTGAACTCTCACAATGGTACAAAGGTTGCTTAAAATGATTTACACTAACAGATTTTTTTATACATTGTGGTAAGCAGTCATACTGTTTTGTTTACCATTTCATTATTCTAATGTGAGGTATAAACAGAATGTTTGTTATGCACAAAAAGCCTGCAATCTGAGGCACAGAAAGAAATCAAGGACTATTGTCTACCTATCAATTATACAATAGAATATGACAAATTGATCATTTTATGTTGATAATACTACAAGCCAGCTTCAATCAATGCATGGAGATACAACTTCAGATACATTATTTCCTGCATTTAGAACTTGAAGCTTCAGCTTCTCTGCTGCTGTGTACTCTCCCAAGCATTGGTATGTTGCAGCTACATTTTTCATAGCTCTAATTGTATCTGGGTGTTCCACTCCAAGAATTCTGTATCTTGCATCCAGAACTTGCATCTCCAACTGCTTTGCCTCTGTGTACTTCCCCAAGCATTGGCATGTTGCAGCTAGATTTTCCATAGCTCTTATTGTCTCAGGGTGTTCCACTCCAAGAATTCTGCTCCTTGTGTTTAGAACTTGCATTTTCAGCTCCTCTGCCACTAAGTACTTTCCCAAGCAATGATATGTTGCTGCTAGATTCTCCATAGCTCTGATTGTATCTGGGTGATCCACTCCAAAAATTCTGTTCCTTGTATCCAGGACATCATTTGCCAAGGTTTCTGCCTCTGTGTATCTTCCTAGGTGTTGATATGTGACTGACAGATTTGCCATGACTTTGATTGTGTCTGGGTGTTTTACTCCAAGAATCTTGGTCCTGGCATCCAAAACTTTGATCTGCAGCTCCTCAGCCTCTGTGTATTTTCCTTGATCTTGATATGTGACTGATAGTTCTCCCATGGCTTTGATTGTCTCTGGGTGTTCCACTCCAAGAATTGTGATTCTTGCATTCAAAACTTGGATCTTCAGCTTCTCTGCTTCTGCATACTTTCCCAGTCTATGACATGTTGCTGCCAGATTTCCTATGGCTGTGATTGTGTCTGGGTGTTCCACTCCAAGGATTCTGTTGCTTATATCCAAAACTTGGAAGTTTAGCTCCTCTGCTTCTATGTACTTCCCCAAGAATCGGTATGTTATTGCTAGATGTCCCATAGCAAGGACTGTTTCTGGGTGTTCCATTCCAAGAATTCTGGTTCTTGCATCTAGAACTTGGATCTGCAGCTTCTCTGCCTCTGTGTATTTTCCTAGATTATGATATGTTGTTGCTAAACTTGCCATGGCTCCAATTGTATTTGGGTGTTCCACTCCATAAATTCTGTTCCCTACAACCAAAACTTGGATCACCAGCTTCTCTGCCTCTGTGTACTTTCCCAAGCAATGAAATGTTGCTGCTAGATTTGCCATAGCTCTGATTGTGTCTGGGTGTTCTGCTCCAAGCATTCTATTTCTTGCATCTAGAACTTCATTTGCCAAAGTTTCTGCCTCCTTGAAATATCCTTGCTCCTGCAATAACATTCCAAACTTTGCATGGGCATCATCCATGTAAAATTGACTACCTTCTGATTTCAAATACTCCATATTTGCTCTCACATGTGTTACCAAGGCTCTTTGGAATCCATATGGCTGGCCAGCATTCCATCTTAGTGAACAAGCCAAGGTGACATATGCCATTAGGCAAGATTCTTTCCTCTGATCCAAATTTAATCTGTCCCTACCCCAGGCATGAACCAGTGGATGCATGGCATATATACAATTAGATGGACATTTCTTGATCAGGGAGAATGACAGTAATATCCGGAGTCCTTCTCTAAAGACAAAGTTATCCCAAGTACCCATTTTATTAAGAGGAAGTAGCCTTCGGTCAAGCAGAGAACTAGCATATGGTAATTTTGAGTTAGATATTTCCTCATCTTCTGGAAGGGCAGCATAGGAAAATATTTCCTCAGTGATTTCCTCATGATGGAAGAAAGGAAATAAATTGAGCAGGAGCATTGCACTATTGGCTGCAATGGCCTTGTGAGAATCATCAGATTCAGCCCTTTGCTGAATTTCCTTATATGATAGCTCCCAAGTTTCATACACAGTTTTGTTATACCTAGAAGCTCCTTTAAATTCAGAATGGGATAATAATATCTGTTGATGCTCTGAATATTTTGCAAGGTAGTCTGCAATAGAGGTAACCCCAGAAGCAATGTAAGCACCAGCCTGATCAATAGCAAGAGGAAGGCAGAAGAGCTGCTTCACAATCTTAGAAGCCTCAGCTTGAAACATCAATGAAGATAGATCCAAGCAACTGGCTTTTAGAAGTAATTCAATAGCATCATTTTCTTCCAACTCAGTTACTTCAAGAGAATTCTCAGGTGAAGTCAGATGCCTCATGGTAGAGTTGCGACTTGTTATCAGAATGTTTCCCCCTCTTCCAGGAGGAAAATAAGCCTCCAGCTCAGCAGGCGAGAGAACATCAGCATTGTCAAAGACCATTATATAATTCTCTTTCAGTGAGCCAATCCAGAGAAGAGCATATTCAGGTGATTCATCCAGACCACTAGACCTGGCTGCAGGAAAAGCACAGATACTCTTGAGTCCTTGTGTGATGGTGCCAAGCGAGGAAGCATCCATCCAGAAAACATAAGAGAAACTGAACACAGTTAAATTTTCAGAACTGAGGGTTGGATCACTACCATTCAGAGCTACTCACTAGTCAGACATTTCCTCAACAAACTTCAAGCATATCTGAGTCTTTCCAATACCCCCCATACCATGCAATAGGAAGAACTTCCTCTTCTGAGCTAAGTTGTGTGCATTGGATAAATGCCCCTTGAGTTTGGCAATGACATCTGCACGCCCTGTAAACCGATTGCTTGGATTCGGCATGAGGGGAATGACCCCATCGGACGTCCTATTGCCATTGTTGATGTTGTTGAAGTGGATCTGCCAGAGATCCATGCTATCAGCTTGCTAACTTCTAAGCGGATATCTAACTGTTCCACTCACGGTGTCAGCTGCATAGAATGTGCCTCCGCTCACAGCAGTGCCATGAGCATTTGGAAAGACTTGAGTTCTGCTCATTCTTAGTGGTCGATGATGAGTGTAAGAGTTCAGGATGAGGGAGGGAAAGAAAGGGGAGCGCTCGGACGCCAGAAACCCCCCAACCTCGATGAACGCGCGTGTGAACATGTTGATTTATTTTTAGGAGCTTGTGCCTGAGCATTTCCAACTCTTCTCCTCGTCATCGTTTTTCTCATTCCTCGGCGACCTACCCTCCTTGGTGGGTAAACTTGACCCTCTGGTATGCTGGTTCCGTATGGAATCTACAGGGTTCACGACAAGGGGATGAAACCCAGCAGCACTGGGGTCGCAAGCGCTTATTGTGATGATGGGCGCTGCTCTAGTACAGTTGTCAGTTGGAATCCGCATTTTCCCCATATGACCTTCGTAGAGCAGCGAAGATCTCTGAAGGTCGCGGGACGCAGAGGCCCTGTTTAGGCAGGAGCTTGGCGTCAAGTCTCAGCATGGGGCCAGAAACCTGTCTGCGTGCCATACGTCATTGTTTTCATCCTCACAATCCATGTCACTATTCCTCAAAGTGAATGGCCAGATCACCGTCAAATAGGCTACAACATCTGAAGGCACCGAGGCCGCCTTCGTTTGGACATTCATATCTCGAGGCACATTGGCTGTGCTTACTACGTCGAACTGCATGATGGGAGGTCAAATTGAGACCCCTTGGTTCAACAGTTAATGGCGCGAAGGATGCTCGGCGGAGAATGTCAGTTCTTTGCTACTCTATAACAGCGGTAGCCAACTACTCTTCACGCAGCTGACTCCGTTCGGATACTTTCTCTCTCCGAACGAACGGTCAACTGAAAGCTATCCCCCCTGTACCTCCCTGAGACCCCAACGTCCTCTACAGCGGCAACGGACCTCTTCCCAGTTTCACATCTACTGCCCATTCCCCTTCTACTGCATATCTTCGGGTGCAGAAGTGAAATACGCTTTTCACGCTTTTCGCTGCTGGTCTGTCTGATTTCGATCGTTGGGAGGGCCTTCAAGGCGCTACGTATGCATTGCCCCCTCTTTTTCAAAGTAACGGAGCGGGGCTTTTGAAAGGGGTTCGGACGAATTTTCCCTCTAAGGGGAGGAAGTAGGGCGACCGTTGAGATGCAAAGGCCGAGCGTTGACCTGCAAAAAAAGGCCGAGCACGGAACGTTCACGACACACCATTCACTCCCTTAGATATTGCCCCTCGCAAACTTCAGAGTCACGGTGCACCCCCCTCACCTCCCCTGTTGTGCCCGAGATTCAATTTCTCAGCTTGCATCGACATCTGGAAAAGAAGGAGGAGAAGAGGACCACGTTGAACACATAACCATTGAACTGTCGCTGGGTCGTCAACATGCTCTGGAGGTTTTACACAGAAGGGGGCGATTTGGGGCCGTGAGAGAGGAGGATGGGGAAGGCTGGTCGAGTCCGATGCGGTGTATCGACTGGATGAGGGAGCGCCCGTGCTTGTTCTTTGTCGGGGACGCGATTGATGAGAAGAGGGGTGGGTGGAAGTTGGTTAAGCTGGCCTGGGGAACCTAAGAAGACCGTCGTGAAGAGAGCACGCGAGGCCAGAGTTGGTGGCTGAGAGGTGGATAGATGGACGGCGGATGAATTGTGCGAGAGAATGGTCAAATCCGCAGTTGTCGTTCTGCTCGAGCCTCCTGGTCCAGTGACATGAAGATGCTCACAGAAACCCCCCACCACTGGGTTGTCCGTAGGACGCACTGCACCTTCACGTTGCAGCTTTTTTGTGGTTGTGATCTAAGTTGTTGCAAAACAACTTTCTTGACCTCAGCCACGTCGGCAACGTCACTTTCAACATTGCTCATGCTCTTGTTCTCAGGATGTTTCGAGCAAGAAAACGCTCCCCGGAACGAAGGTGCGTCCGGCTGTGACCCTGCCGCTGAGTCTTTGGTCTCAACCCCAACCAAGAGGCATATTCTCCGTCCCTTCAAGCTACGGTGTCCCACACAAGTCTTCCAGTGCGGGGAACTACCCCGCAGACGTCCCTGATATGAGCACTTACCAGCACCGTCGTATCGCTGGGCCTAGTTCACGAGCACAGGACAGCCTCACGGAAGTTCATCAGACATGGAATGAATGAAGTCTTCCCTTCCCCCACTCCCAACTGAAACTCATATCCTCAGGGAATGATTCTCCTCACCTCTAGCGGCTGCCACTTCACAGAAAGCATCTCAGCACTCCACAGTGCCTCCATTTAACTCTCCACCCGACCTGCACGCCCTCTACAAACCCCGCTTGTTCCCCCTCTCAATACACTAGAAAGATCAGCGGTACTCGCGCAGGTCGAGTTGGAGGAGAGGCATGCACTGGAGTGTGTCCAGGTGGCGTATGATGAGGAAAAGGAAAGTGTAGAAGAAGAGTCGAGGATGGGATGGGAAAGGGTTAGGGAGTGGTTGAATGAGTGATTGAGGAGAGGCGGAGGAGGGTGAGGGAGGAGAAGGATGCAGAGGGAACGTTGGGCGGTTAGTTCCTTTTCCCCTCTTCCCCATACACCGCTGGCCGCCTTAGTTCATTGAATCGAATGCATCGCTAGACGCGCTCCCACTCGCCCATCACCCACAAACTTTGCAACAAACTCGGAACATCGCCCCTCCCAGAAAAACTCTCCATGGACGAATTTCCTTTCCCGTTCCCACTGACATCACCAAGTATACCCAACGGGAGTGCCCCTACCGTTTATTTTATTTTTCGTACCCATCCTAGTGACCTTTCCCGACCGGATTATTGACTATTGCGTGTCTTAAATTTAAAGATGACATTTCCCATGAAGGCTTCTAAAACTTGAGAATGTTTTGAACTTTGGAACGCTTGATACCACCAAGCCACCACCGCTCGTGTATGAACTTCGCATACCATGCTCGGCTCAATGAGGCGGCTTTACGTAGGGCTGCGACCACGACTGGGCGCCGATGAAGCAAAAGGCAAAGGCACTGTTCAAAAGATAATACAAAGACAACCGAAAAAGAAGAGACGTTTGATTCCCTGCCCTAACCCTTCAACAATTCTCCTGAAACGTCTTCTACTTGTCCAGCCTACAAACAAACCCATGATAGTCCTAAGAACAGATTGTGGCATGACCCAATATGCCTACGGGCCGTAGCAGCTTGCATAGTCTGAGCAAGCGTAGGTTGCACCAAGGCAGTTGTTTTGGAAGTTCTGGTTGTTGGCGCGGTAGCAAATGTAGGTGTTGCCATTGGCGCTGATGGTACCCAGGACCTGGTCAGTGGCCGCACGGCAGTTGGACGTCGACCAAGTGCCGCGGCCAGACGGCGTCGGAATCGTCGCCCCTGAAGTGGAGCACGAGCCGCTGTCGTAGAGGAAGGAAGAATCGTTGCTAGCGATGAGGGGAGTATAGTCAGAAGTCGGAAGTACAACAAAGGAGACCCTAAATACCATGATCCGAGCTTGTTGTCACCCCAGTGGATATAAAAGTTGTTTACGCAGGAAACGCCACCTGCGCCGATAGGAATGCAGCCGTTGCAGTACGACATGGTGAGCTTCTGGCTACGCTTCATCAGCGTTCCGGGAGAGGCAACGACAGCCCCGGCCAGGACAGCAGCGAGGATAGCGCGGATATAAAACATTTCGACTTCGAGGAGCAGATGGAGGAAGAAAGGCTTAGCTGGATGTGGATGGTTGACGACTGGTAGGAGATGAGGGTTGAAAGGGGTTTATACTTATGCTGTCCTAGATTGCTTCCGAGTAGTGATGTTGGGAATCATTCACCGTTTCGCCAAAGGAGCTATGTAACCTTATAAAACCCAGAATAATGGTATTGATCATAAGCTTCTCGGTTGCTGTTCGGCGGAGCAGGAATTCCAGTGATAACGGGGACGTTCATAATGCGAGCGTAGACACCGGCAAGCGTCAGTTCCACAAGGAGAGGGTCGAATCAGTTAGACAGAATATTTCATTATCGAGGATGCGATGGAGAGGGTGGTAGGCATCGATAGCCTCTCTTGTAAAAATAAAACACCATTTAACAAGCTTTCAGTGGCAATAGGCAAGGAAGTACCTTCAAAACGGCATATCAGCATTTCCAGGCGCTTCAGCCCCGGCAATGTGAACGTCTCATCTCGCTCTCTCCCCACCTGGACATGCAGACTGGTGGATCAATTGGCCTTCCAAGATACACGTTCATTAACACCGCCTAACACAGGGTTAACGTAATAAGTTGGGCTAACGAGCTCGATGCCGAAGCGACTTTCGTGAGCACTGTCCGATGCAACAGAATGAGATGTGACTTGGTTGTCGAGTCACGAAAGAAAACGCCTACGTTCACGCGCACGTGGTGTCAATCTTGTCTTGACAAATCAATCTGGCCATTCACTTCGAGATCATCATCGAATAGGCCACAGCATTTGAAGGCACCGAGGTCGCCTTCGTTTTGACATACGTATCTCGAGGCACACTGGCAGCATCCACATTGGCCGTGCTTACGTCGAACTGCATGATGGGAGGTCAACTTGAGACCCCTTAGTTCAACAGTTAATGGGGTGAAGGATGCTCGACGGACAATGTCAGTTTTTTGCAACTCTACAACAGTGCTAGCTAACGACTCTTCACGCAGCTGACTCCGTTCGGATACTTTCCCTCTCCAAACCAATGGTCAACCGAAAGCTATCCCCACGTACCTCCCTGAGACCCCAACGTCCTCTACAAACGGCAACCAGCCTCTTATCAACTTCCCTTCTACTGCCCATCTCCCGTCTACTGCCTATTTTCGGGTACATAAATCAAATACGTTTTTCACGCTTTCCGCTTCTGGTCTATCATTGGGAGGGCCTTCAAGAAAGGGACGACGTTCGGACGAATTTTCCTCTAAGGGGAGGAAGTAGAGCGACCGTTGAGATACAAAGGCTGAGCGTTGACCTGCAAAAAAGGCCGAGCACCGAACGTTCACGGCACTCCCTCAAATATTGCTCCTCGCAAACTTCAGAGTCACGCTGCCCCCGCCTCACTTCCCCTGTTGTGCCGGAGATTCAATTCCTCGGGTCGCATCGACATCTGGAAAAGAAGGAGTATAGAGGAGAAGAGGACCACGTTGAACACATAGCCGTTGAACTGGAGCTGGGTCATCAAAATGCTCTGGTGGTTGTACACAGAAGGGGCGATTTGGGGCCGTGAGAGAGGAGGATGGGGGAGGCAGGTCGAGTCCGATGCGCCAGTGTACTATCGACTGGATGAGGGAGCGCCCGTGCTTGTTCTTTGTTGGGGACGCGATTGAGGAGAAGAGGGGGGTTAAGCTGGCATGGGGAACCTTAGAAGACCGTCGTGAAGCGAGCACGCGAGGCCAGAGTTGGTGGCTGAGAGGTGGATAGATGGACGGCGGATGAAGTGGGCGAGAGAAAGGTTACATCCGCAGTTGGCACTGGTGTTGTTCTCCTCGAGCCTCCTGGTCCGGTAGCATGAAGACGCTCACAGATACTCCCCACCACTGGATTGTACGTAGTACGCGCTACATCTTCGCGTTGCAGCTTTTTGTGGTTGTCTGAGAAGTTGTCGCCAAACAACTTTCTTGACCTCAGCCACGTCGGCAATGACACCTTCTGCATCGCTCATGCCCTCGTTCTCAGGATGTTTCGAGCAAGAAAACGCTCCCCTGGACGAAGGTGCCTCTGGCTGTGACTCCCCACAGTGCCTCCATTTAACTCTCCGCCCGACCCGAAACGCACGTCCTCTACAAACTCCGCTTCCCCCCCCCCCCGTCATTAGAAAGATCAGCGGTGCTCGCAGGGGAGAGGGGTGAGAAACCACAGACGCGTTGATGATGTTCTCGAATGCTACTAGTATCGTCCTGCCACCCCTCAGGCCTCATCATTCATCGTTAACTTGGGACGCATATATGAACCTAGGCAAGGACATACCACCAAGGCAGTACCCAGTCGCGCTAGGGTAGTTATCCCCTCCTTGAGCACCTCGATGACCTTGTCGACTCGGGGTACAGGGTGTGGGCTTGTGATTAACGAACCATTTTTGGAAGTCGACTGTTTTCTTTTGTGATAATGGTGTCAAATGTCGGAGGGGATATGGAAGGGGAGGCAGGGTACGTTCACCGGGATCCGTAGCGTCAGTAAGGACGGGATCACCGTTCAAGTAATCAGGAACGATTGTCTGCCCTAATTCGTCGGTCAGAGGAACTTACCTGGGAGAAAAAGGAAAGACAGACAGACCTTGAACCCATTCCTCGCAAAATCCTCAGCGAGCACTGACCGGGGATTGACGAGCTGTGGGCCAAATACATCTCTTAGGAAGAGGATGACTTTGTCTTTGGGTTAGTCGATGGTGGGCGTTGCGACGTAGGAGTTCACGCTACCTACGAGTTCCCATTTCCCTGTTAGTAACACAAGTTGAATTCCTAGAAAAATGGATTTCTGATGCTTCGTCGAGTTGCTACTAGTACTTACGTTTGTACATAGTCCACATCAAGATGGCAATTGGATTGTGCGAGGACGGTCTGCCATGTGTAGGGTAGTTTATACAGGTGCGCTATTATCTCTGGCCTGTTTAAAGAATCCTATCACTACTAGCATTATCTATCCATCTGATCTTTGTCCACTTCGACATACTAATACTGCATGATTTTTTAGCCCCTCAAGTTGACGTCAGATCTGAGAAGACCTCTCTGAGCCATCATGGTTCTGGAGTCTACCTCGTAGTCGTGTCGCCGTAGTTAAGGTGAGTAACGTATGGTCGTGGTGATGTACCGTGGTACTGTGTCGGTAGTATACCATGACGCGATCCGCGCCAAATCCGTGCTATGTACTACTTGGCTACTGCTAGGCGTGCGAAAAGCTTTTCTTCTCTTACCACCATGTCGTCCTTATCCGATTGCCCTCCAGAAATCATCGAAGTGGTAATCGACTTCCTCCAGCACGATCTAAGTGCCCTCAGGGCATGCTCACAGACATGTGTGGCGCTTCTCTCTCTGTGTCGCAGATACATCTTCCGCTCCCTTCTCATCAGTAATTCTCCGAGTCTTCCATATTATGATCGATGGCGATCTAGCACAATTACGCAGGTCAGACCAAAAATTTGGCGCTTTCTAGATGCCAATCCAACAATCTCAGAATACGTCCACAAGATTACATACCACATGAGCAAGGTCGACTTGGAGGATGGAGACGTCCCTCGGGTACTGGATCAGCTTCATAACCACAATGCACACTCTTTCCAGCTGATTGGCGCCTCGCTCCCTTCACGCATGAAATGGGCACAATTCCCTCCCCGTCTCGGAGACGCATTATTGCGTGTCGTGCAATCATCTTCGATCACATGCTTAGCATTCTCCGAAATCGCCTTCCCCATCGTTGCTCTGCGCGCTTGTGTGAACCTCACGGAACTCACTATATCTATGGTCGATTTTAATGTTTCCGCTGTCGACGAGCAAAGATCTTTGACTTCAACTTCTAGTTTCGACGTCAGAATCCCCCAGCTCCAGACGTTCGCTTGTGAGATGTATTCTGATCAATATGCAAGGTGCCTCCTCAATGCTAGACACCCCAGCGATTGCTGGGTGCTAGGCTTTAGCAATGTTCGGATGTTGAGCCTCGAGGTAGATCGAAATTCGGATTTGGCTGTCCCGCGCGCGTTCATCAATGTAACAAACAAGCTTGAAACTCTACAATACGCAGGTACGTACCAGAAACACTCTTTGAGAAGATTGAATCTTATATCTCATTCATTTAGTGTGCGACTCGACCGGTGCACCGTTCGCAGGTATGGCGGCGTCGATCAACAATCCCTCGCTATCAACGTTGAAACGACTCCACTTCTCCTTCGTGTTTGGAGATTTAAAGGACCCCCTATACGGATTATGCAAGGAACTCAATCTTCTCTCAGGATACGCAAACGTGATTGAAGAAATTAGCATAGCCGCTCGGGTTCAAATATACGCTGAAGATGACATCGACAGTCAACAGTGGGGAATGTTGGACACTGCTCTTTCTAAGGGAAATGGGTTTCCGATGCTTCGTCAAGTTTCGATCGATATTAAATTGACACTTAATGCACATGATGGTGAAGGGGCACTCATATATGAGAGGGAATTAGACGAGATCCCGACTAGATATCTTCCGTGGTTGTCTAGCATGAAGACAGTCCTGTTCTGCTTTTCGACAAGGGTACATATTTCACGATTCTAAACACAGTTTGAACATCGATTCGGTATTCAATTTTTCTAGTAGGTGTGTTCCAAATTGCATAACTACCCCGGTTCCATGTCGTACCCATGCCAGTCAGTGACCTTTCCCATCCGAATAAGTAATCGATTATTGCACCTGACTTTGAAGGTGACATTTCCCATGAAGGCTTCTAAAACTTGATGATACAGAGCCACTTCGAGCCTTTTATGACTGATCTGCTTGAAGCGGGCGTGTGAAAAACGTTTTCATCTGTTCAAGTCATGTCGTCCTTCGCCGACTGCCCCCTAGAAGTCATCGAAGTGGTGATCGACCTCCTCCAGGATGGTTTAGATGCCCTCAAGGCATGTTCTCAAACTTGCACAGCGCTTCTGCCCCTATCTCGCAAATACATCTTTCGATCTCTCCTCCTCGTCACTTCTTCAGAACCCATTGATTACCCTATCTATCAATCCAGGAGCCCTAGCAGCCTCAGGCTCACGGTGGTCAGACTACAATTTTGGCACTTTCTAGACACCAATCCGACAATTTCAGAGTATGTCCACACGTTCGTGTGCCATATCAACTTCAATGATGACATTCCTCGGGTGCTGGAGCGACTTCACCACGTACGCTCTTTCAAAATGATTAACGAGGTTTTCACAAAAGGTTGGAAAAAACTCTCCCCACATCTCAGAGACACTTTATTGCGTGTCGTCCAATCACACTTCATCACATGTTTAGCAATCTCCTTCGCTTGTTTCCCTATCACTGCTTTCCTGGCTTGCGTTAACCTAACGGACCTCTCTGTTTCTTGCGTCGACTTTGATTCCACCGGCGTACTAGATGATCCCGCTTTGATTTCTTCAAATTTGGATTTGGAAGTGTCGGAGGTCCGAGTCCCACGACTTCAAGTGTTCACCTATGGGTTTATGGGTGGCAAATATGCGATGCGCCTTCTCAATGCTAAAGTTCCCAACGGCGGCCCAATGCTAGACTTTACCAACGTTCGGACGTTGAGTGTCTATGTGGAGGAACATTCGGATTTGGCTGTAGTGCATGCGTTAGTAAATGCAACGAACAAGTTGGAAACTCTGCGATACGATCGTAAGCACCAAAAATGGAGACTGACTCTTATACTCACTCACCCTTGTTAGTGGAAGACTTCATCGACGGATATGGGAGTATCGCGCTATCGACCAATAAGCCTTCCCTATCAACGCTGAAACGACTCCACCTCTCTTATGAATTTGACGCGCATGGCGATGCCATAGACTTCGTCTGTGGAATGCGCGAGGAACTCGGCATTCTTTCAGGACTCCCGAACGTGATTGAAGAAATTGCCATAGAGGCTCGAATCCTAATTTACGGTTGGGGTGACTTGTGCCGTGTTTGGGGAATGTTGGACACCGTGCTTTCCAATGGGTTCCCAACGCTCCGTCATTTTTCGCTCAATATTCAAGCGTCAATAGAATCGGATGGTGTGACGGAGGTTCGTGTGAAAGAGGAGCTAGACGAGATCCCGGCATATCTTCCGTTGTTGTCAAATACTGCGACGGTCCTCTTCTCTTTTTCGGCAAGGGTAATTACATAACTTCATTTGAAGATTGTTTTTTTTTGGTTGATATGATGGTGTCTCACTCTGCAAGTTTTAGATAGTTTTGATACTAGTTTGTTATGGTCTGTTCGAAATGTTCTGCGGGGCCCTCTACCGCATGCACCCGATTTTTGTCCAGTGTCAGAACATCCACCGCCATCCCGCGCGGATTATCAAAATACCTGGAACAACACGATCAAAAAGTAGTCATGAAGCAGGCACCGACACCCGCTGTCCGACCAGAAGTACTTTTCTACAAAATAGCTCGCGGATCCAGTTTGAGAGACCGCTCGGAAATTTACAATCGTCAACATTTCCCATGAGCCTCCGTCAGTCAATTCTGGTTATCCCGATTGCCCAGTTGGGGTTTAACCAGTGTCGACCTTCCCATTAGATCCGAGAAATTGTTCAGATACCCTCAATTCAGCTACGAAAATTTCCCCCAAGCTCATGATAACTAACAGACTTTGACGACAAAATACCATTCTAAGGTGAAAGTCAATGTGTCGATGCACGTATTGCGAAAAAAAGATCATAATACGCGTTCCCGAAGGATTAAGTAGGCCTCAAAGACCTCGACTTATTTAAGGTGGTGCTGAGATTTCGGATTCAATATGGCCTTCCTCGTCTTTTTGTGTTTTACTATCGCTGCTTGGGGCTTCCTCGAATATGGATGACAGAGGCGCCGTAATACTTTGCTGAGCGAAATTAAGGCTGAAGGTCTGACTTGGTTCAACTAGCCGACCCCGAGCACGTTTCCGGCTATTCAGAACGCCGAGGAGCACGTTAGAATACCTGTTCGAGTCAGCTTCTCTTTAAAGACATTCACAGCTCAGGGACAACTTACAAGCGCCCCAAAATGTACACTCTGAAAAATCAGACCTCAGTAGCATTCACAATTAGTTTATCGCTTGACTTACATGCCAATTCGGTTGAGTGAATTTGGCGGAGATCTTATATAAAAAATTAGTTGAACAAGAGTCACAATCAGGGTGATGGAAGCGGTCTCCAAAGTTACGATAATGAGACGATCGATAATACACTTCATTGACTTGAATGAGGACTCTAGTTTTGCCTGCACGAGCTAAAGAAAAAGAAAGATTTGAACCAGTTTGAATTACACCAAGGAGAATGGGAGTACCAGAAATGTCATAGTTGCAACGATGATGAAATCGCAAATCAAGGTTCCACATAACCAAAGCTTTCGAGGCGAAGGTTGAGCACTTTAAGTTTCGGGGATACAGCAAAAGAGAAGGTATAAACCTCAGCTGAAAGGTCTAAAGTATATTGTCGGCTGGATAACCTTTCAGATTGAGCGCACTGATTGAATCTATGAATTTCCGCAGAAAATTTTGTGGTGAGGTTATAAAGCACGTACAGCTACTCCACGGGCAATCGCAGCCGCTAATTGCATGAACGCCACCTAGAAAAGTTCAACGCGTGTAAAACAAACCAGGGAAGGCCGCTAACCAAGCAGATTATGCTTGAAATAATTTGATAGATTTTGAACTCTCTCTTCAGAGTCCATATTCGCCTATAAGGATGTTGGAAATCATGGGTGAAAACGAGGATTTATGGGAATGAGAGCTCACCAGGCAAAAAAAATCTGAACAATGCAGGATTCTATTAATGGCGAGGTCAGCACGTTAAGGGATCGGTTGAGTGGAAGACTCGTCTATCCCAGTGAGTGGTACGGTAATGACGGGAAAGACGGAAGTGCCAATGAAAATTGTTGGGTTTCCCCATGCAACTATCAGGCTTTGCCAAACGCCCGAAGTCACAGCCATGGACCACACCTGATCAACGGCGAGGCATACCCAAACTAATATTTGGATGAGGGCTAGACAATAAAAATCGCGATGATGCGCACCCGCTACTTTGATGAATTTAAAGTCCCCATTCAGATGATCGGTACAAAAGAAATCGTCTGAGAATCCGCATGAGATGAGGATGTGTGGTGTCAAGAAATATTATGAAGTAAACGCACAGCATTGCACACGGGCTTGTATTTGGATGGTCAATTTCCCTGTTTTCACTGTCGACGTCCCAGAGCTTGAGGCGTTCACTTGTGAGATGTAATCGGATCCGAGTCGGTCCTCGAATGCTAGACCGTAGACGCCCCAGCGATAGCCCGATGCAAGACTTTAGCAATGTTCGGATGTTGAACGTTGAGCGCTCAACCTAGATCCAGATTCGGATTTGACTGTAACAAACAAGTTTGAAAGTTGAAATTTTTGAAACTCCACTGACCTTACCCAACTGGATTACCGTTGGCTTATCGACTCTTGCATAGCTCAACGTTGAAGGTGACATTTCCCGTGAAGATTCTAAATCTTGATACATAATACGGTTGTCACCAGCCACTTCGAGGCTTTTATGATTGTCCGATAATAAGTAGATATGGCTAGAGGCCTCTTGTCCGATCTCTTCGGCTTGGCCAAAGAAAACCAGTGGGCGTGTGAAAAACGTTTTCATCCTCACGGTCACTGAGTACTGTGTCCAAACCATGTCGTCCTTCGCCGACTGCCCTCTAGAAGTCATCGAAGTGGTGATCGACCTTCTCTGGGATGATTTGAAAGCCCTCAAAGCATGCTCTCAGACCTGCACCGCGCTTCTGCCCCTATGTCGCAAATACATCTTTCAATCTCTCCGCCTCGTCACTTCTCCAGATCGTTACTACTCTACCTATCAATACGGGGGCCATAGCAGCGTCATGGTGATCAGATCAAATTTTTGGCAAGTTCTAGAAACCAATCCGACAATTTCAGAGTACGTCCACACGTTAACATACTGTATCAACGCCCGCGACCCTTTGAATGGTGACATTCCTCGGGTGCTGGAGCGGCTTCACCACGTACGCTTTTTCGATGTGGCTGGAAGGATCCCCAAGGCAGGCAGTAAACAAACCCCCCAACGTTTCAGAGACGCGCTACTGCACGTCGTTCAATCACACTCCATCACATGTTTGACAATCTCTGTCGACGATTTCCCCATCACTGCTTTCCTTGGTTGTGTTAACCTCACAGACCTCTCCATCTTTGACCTCTACTTTGATTCTGCCGACGTAGAGCAAGAATCTTCCAATGTAATTTTTTCAAATTTGGACGTGAAAGTGTCGGACATCCGAGTCCCACGACTTCAGTCGTTCGCCTTTGGGCAGGCTATGAGCGGGCAATATGCGATGCGCTTGCTCAATGCTAAATGTCACAATGGCGGCCCAATGCTAGACTTTACGAATGTTCGGACGTTGAGTGTCTATCTGCAGGAAGATTTGGATTTCACTGTAGTGCATGCGTTAGTAAACGCAACGAACAAGCTCGAAACTCTGCGATACCAGTGTAAGCACAAAAAACAGAGGTTGAATCTTACGCTCACTCACCTTTGTTAGTGGGAGACTTTATCGGATATCCGAGTATTTCCCCGTCGATCAATAAGCCGTCCCTATCGACGCTGAAACGACTCCACCTCTCCTATGAATTCGACATAAGTGAAGATCTCACAGACCTCGTGTGTGGTATATGCAAGGAATTCGGCATTCTTTCAAGACTCCCGAACGTGATTGAAGAAATCACCATAGAGGCTCTATACGTATATGTCAGTCGGGGTGAATCGTGTGTTTGGGGAATGTTGGACACCGTGCTTTCCAATGGGTTTCCAATGCTCCGCCGGGTTTCGCTCGATATTCTAATGTCAATAATGTGGGACGAGTGGATGGAGGCTGGTATGAAGGAGGAAGTAGCCGAGATCCCGACGAGATATCTTCCGTGGTTGTCAAATTCTTCAACGATCCTCTTCTCTTTTTCGCCAGACGTCATGGAATTATAATTAACTTTGTTTCGAGATTGGTTTCTGGCCGATTTAAATGTTATTTCGCTCTTGCGCGTCCTCGATGGTATTGAACCTTGTATCCACAGCCTTCCCGCGTGTATTATAAAAAATATCGGAACAGCACGATCGAAACGTAGTTCGAACGTAGTCATTCAGCAGGCGCCCACATCAACTCAGGCTGTCCAACTTGCCGGGGGTAATTTAGCAGCTCACCCAAACCAGTTTCAAGATATTCGCAGACTCCTTATTCCATTCAGAAATTTACAATCGCGTTATCTCATCAAGGGTTTTCCGGTGAATCGGAACTTCAGTAAGTCAAAATTTCTCTATATATCTAGTATCTTTGGGCAGATTTACAAGCGAATGGGCTATGGAACTGCTTAGTTTCCCAAAACATAATGTGCTCGTCTGAACTTCCCCTCCTCCGGGCTCCCACGGCGTTTTCACGTGTTTTCCAAGGGTGATCTGGACCCGCTCGACGGGGCGATTCCTCGGCAGGTTTAGAACAACCTACTTACCATCCAAAGATCCTAGCAATAGAACATCCATCCATGCTTCTTCGACGCCACGACGACGACGACAACGACGACCTCCACCCTCAACATGCTCTCCCAATCTATAATCATCGCCCCAACGTCCTCCTACCCCCTCCACATAACCGCGAAACGATACCCTTTTCCAAGATTCGACGTTGACGCCAACCCGCGTGCACGTACCCTGTTGGTACTGCATTCCACGAGTTTTCATAAAGAGACTTGGGAGCCTTTGCTTTCTCGCTTATTTGACCTCGCGACGAGGGAGGGAGGGGAGGCGTTGATAAGGGAGGCGTGGGCTGTAGAATGTCCGAACCATGGTGAATCGGTGGAGTTGAATGAGGAGGCGTTGAAGGAAGGGGAGTATGCTGATTCTTGTACGTGGTCTCTTTTTCGATTATTGCTTTGGGCTGATGGATTGGCGAAAGTTTCGTGCGAGCACTATGCGATAGCCATTCACCACTTCCTCACCTCTGGCGTGGCGGATTTCTCAAATCGGAACTTGATCGGCATTGGGCACTCTTTAGGCGCAAATGCCATGTAAGTACACCCTTCATCTTCGCCTCATTTTATAGTATGTAACACTAAATTTCCTTACTAGCCTCCTCCTACAACACCTAATCCCCAAGATCTCATTCTCATCGCTCATAATCATCGAACCCATGATCAGCCCCGCTGGCGGGGACAAGCTCGCCCCCCTCCGCAAAAAACTCATCACTTCCGCGAGAAGGAGGCGAGCCGCGTGGCCCTCTCGAGCCGAGGGATTGATGGTGTTGAAAGAGAGGGAGGGGACAAAAAAGTGGGATGAGGCTGTCTTGGAGCTGTTTGTTGTGAGTCTTTTTCCTTTGATGGTGTTGCTACGAAGGACTCGGGCGATAACTGACGAAGATTCTGGTTAGAAATACGCGATTAGGGAAAAGGAAGATGGGCAGGTTGCGTTGGCGTGTACGAGGGAACAAGAAGTGGTATTTATCCCTGCCGATTCTATTTACCCTTCCTTGTCTCATGTAACTCCCTTCTTTAACACAGACAATGTACAGCGACGTACCAGGAGCCACTGAACCCGTGCATGACCTCGACAGGGTATGCCATCTAATACCGGTACATCTTATACTCGGGAAGATTAAGGACTTCATGTACGTTCCCTTTTCTCCCTGCACGTCTGGGTTTCCCATTTATTGAATCAATAAATGTACAATGTCAGCCCCGCAAAAGTACACGAAGCCCTCACATCACCAACCTCCGGGCGGGTGTACGCCTCAACAACCGTGATTGAGGGAACAGGGCACTTGGTATGCCATTCCTTCCTTCCCCCTGCTCTTCGGTTCCAACGATAAGTGCGATTAGATACCACAAGAGAAACCCAAAGAACTAGGAACGGCTATATACGATATTCTGACGGGCAAGAAAGGGGTGCCGCCAAAGCCCAGGCTATGATCTCGCTATACTAATTATCTATGGTCTTGCTGTCGTGTTATACTCACTGTACTTTATATCATGCTTTGCTAGGACAGAATTTGGAAAATGCTTGTGACGTCATATACATCCTTGCTGTCAAGAGCTTTGCTTGTTTGTCAAGATCACGAACACTCTGTCTACAGCACTTCATCCTGAATTGTTGCAGTCTTTGCTACATCCTTGCTGTCAAGAACCGCTTTGCTTCCTTGTCAAACTCTCGAATCACGACTCGAGTTCGTTTTCGCTATATCATTGCAGTTTTTGGTCAATGAAAAGGAGGGAGGATTTAGTCAGGGTTGCTGCCAACGACTCTAACTGACTCGGAGATTTTGCCTCAAATGACTGATGCAACTTGGATGCAACAAACGGTAATAACTCCGGGGAGTTTTACTCGGAGTTGGACAACAAGCCTCGGAAACTTTTCCTGACTAGAAGCAAGAGAGGTTCTCCTCTGGAAGCGAAGGACTTGATTTGACCGGGGAGAGGAGACTTTTTCCTCTATAACCACCAATCAGCGTGTGTATTGCTACAGTTGAGTGCAAAAAGAATGAAGGTTGGTTCATTTTTCTGGTTCTTTCTAAGAATCTATTGTACCTCAAATGTATTTGTGTATTCTTTTACATTATGTAGTTGTGTTACACTTCCCTTGGTATGGACTAATTTCAGTGAAAGCTGGAGCCTTGAGAAGGTTTTTATTCTGGAGGCCATTTTTGGCATCTGAAAAAAAGCACTAACTGGAGAGGTAGCGAGAACATACCTCTGGTCAACCTGAATGAGCCTATCAAAGAATTAGTTAAAAATACTGAGTGGTTATGCTTGTAGAGCCTCCAGAAAATGGACATTTTGTGCTATTTTGGTCATTTTTGGCCTGTTTTAGACAAAACAAGCCATTTTCCAAAGCCTCTACAGACCTAACCACTCAGTATTTTTGACTGATTCTTTGATAGGCTCATTCAGGTTGACCAGAGGCATGTTCTGGCTACCTCACCAGTTAGTGCTTTTTTTTTTTTTTCAGATGCCAAAAATGGCCTCCAGAATAAACGCCTTCTCAAGGCTCCAGCTTTCACTGAAATTAGTCCATACCAAGGGAAGTGTAACACAACTACATAATGTAAAAGAATACACAAATACATTTGAGGTACAATAGATTCTTAGAAAGAACCAGAAAAATGAACCAACCTTCATTCTTTTTGCACTCAACTGTATTTCGATTCCGAGATCTTTGACATCTGATCTATCCCGCGGACAGTTTTTCGCAACTTTGACGCCGATGAAGAGAAAACATCATTTCTTCTCCGTCTCGTTAATTCACTGGGTGGCCGATCACACTCTTGGATTTTGTGAAAGTTTTTTTTTTTTTTTCATTGTAGGGGGCTAAAAGATGTTGTGGTGATGGCATTTGATTAAGAACCAGACCCGCGACAAGGGACTGACCAAATCCCAAACGACCTGGCGCGTTAAGGATCAGAAAACCTGTGTTGCCTTTTAACGGCGCTGAGCCACCTCCAATGACAGTGGTCAGAATAGGAAATTTATCTGCAAGTCCTCTTTCCTACCCTAAACTTCTTCCTCCAAGACGACACTGAGACGTCGCCAAACATAGTGAGGTTGGCCGGGCCAGACAATCTATCTACAGGTCCTCCTAGACCGTCACCAAACTCCGAGCTGGGTCTACGCTCGATGATTTCGGGATACTGTGCTGATGGGATCCGTTTTTTAAATTATATTTCC